AGCCGTAAGATGTTGAACCACATAAATTATAAGATTACGTAAGTCAGTCGGAATGTGTTAATACAAGAAATGAGATGTGCAAGAAATATTGTCAGTTAATTTCATTTAGTTAGATAACATATATAAAGCATTGCGCCTAACCGATAATCAGCATTTACACTCAATAAAAGATGATGCTATCAATTTAGGTTAAAAGACAATCAAAACTACTGCTTTTTTATAAGTAATTAAGGTTTAAACCGTTCGACAGCAATGATCTTTGCTAACGTCAACAGACTTGAGCCGAACTATTTGTTATTTTACTCAATTAACATTTCGATTCATCTATATACCATGATCATTCTTAATTATTGTTCCACATTTTATCTCTCCAATGAAATAAACTAGGTTTAAACTGTAATAAGAGCAATTAACATTTATTATTCACCCTGTAAGCGCAGCTGACTGAAGAAATGAACAATGAGTCCATTTCATCTTACTCCATGCGTTGATGTTATCACGTTTTTCAAATTCACTAAGGGGGAATTTGTGTATGAAATTTTATGGTTATTATTATTATTATCCTAAGGTGGCCTGCTTAAATTAATCACTGGGTTGACAGAATTCGCGTCCATCAAAATGCTTAAACTTCTCTGCATTTCTTATTGTTTTAATCCTGCAATTATATCATATAAACGCTATGTGAACTCGCGTGCCTATTTAATTGACTTCCTTTACTAGAAGCTATGCAATTCTTGAAATAAATGAACAAAAAGCTTTCAGAATTGTTTTTTTCTCATTTACAGCAACGCTATGCCATTTGATAAACTTCAAATCATTACTTTATGAATAAACCCTATTTTAAGAGGGAATATTTTGGCAGTAAATGCGCTGAAAATTTCTGTAATATATGTTCACATATTGTTTGAAATAAAGCTTTATTATTATTATTACTCTAACACATGCAGTTTTATTAATCACGCATGATTTCATTTTATAATTTTCAGGAATCGGTCATCGAAGGGAGACAGCTACCAATAGCTTATCTTAAGGCATATATATCTGTCGAAAAGTTGAAAGATAAATTTTCGCTGAACACTTACCTACAAGAGTTGAAAAGTAAGTAACATGAAATGTGAAAAGTGATATCTTTTTTTGCAGTCGAATTTACATTTTCTTGAAATTGTTTATTCACTTTTATGATCAACCGCGTTTCGGTATATGGGTTACTTAAACAGATGTCTATATCTAACCAGGATTAATAACTAAAGGCTATTTTTTTGATGATGTGTAGCCAGTAGAATCCCATACCCCTGTTTCGTCCAGTTTAAGACTCATCATGTGGAAATATTTGTTCCCTAATGAGTGGTGGTATTCCCAGTGAGACTCGGATTCAGCACCCTTTTTTCATACATCACTGTTTTCGCCACTTCTTTTATTAGATAAGTAATGCGGAAGCCTAAAACTTGTAACTGTGATTTTGGCAGATTGTTGTAATAGTTTTGTTTCTAATGGATTTACGACATGTATGTGTCATTTTCACTGCTTTTTAACAATGAAAAACCCTTCGACAAGACAAACATATATTGGACTAACAAAAGGACCCTAGAAGACCTGAACTTTGCAGATGATTTGTTTCTCATGTCACGCAAACTGGAAAACCTACAAGTGAAAACCGTAAAGTTATCAGAAGAGGTGGCGAACGAAGCATTTCAAGTGAACATAGAGGTGACAGAGATGAAGAGGATGCCCAACCGATGACAACAAACACCGGTCACCATCAACTGGAGAAATTTCAGGGAAGCTGTCTCTCATTAACCTGGATATCATCGTTTCAACTACAGGTGGTAAGGGTGAGGATATCAAAATCAGGATGGGAAAAGCAAGACAGACCTTTATTACACTGAAAGCAGCATAAAAGTCAGTTGGACTCAGAATAAGGAAGCAACACTTGAATTTCCAACAATATTATGAAATCAGGGCTTGTATATGGTTCGGAAGCCTGATAAACGCGTCACCAAAAACATCTTCAATAGACTGTAAACTTTCGTCAAAAGCTGCCTTCGCTCCATACTGAAGATTGGTTTGTTGGTCAGAGGCGATAAGTAGCAAGGAACTCAGGCAGCCAACTTGTTGCCCAATACATAAGCACAACAAAATGGAAATGAAATGGAGGCATTCTGAGAAGACCTTCAGGTAAAATCACACACCAATTCCTTGACGGACAATACAATAGGAAAAGAGGTTGGGCGTCTGAAAGTGAGGTGAAGATTATTTGAAGGGAAGAAAGCACAAGGACGGTCTCGGAGCCATCTGATAATGGCTGCACAGGATCTAACGAAATGAACATGTTCTGACAAAGCCCTATGTTGCACTCCGAATGGAAGGAACAAATTAGAATTTGTTCCACTTTTGTAACCATCCCACTTACTCGATTGTTTTTGTTTATATCGGATCGATCTCTCAATTAACAAATTTTAGTTCGCCATTTAGTATAGCAGTCATTCTGTTTACATAGTTACTTCTTTCGAGGGTGATTATTACTGTACTTATTTATTAGGTTTCAAAATTATCGATTTTTCATTCTGTATAAGCATATTAGTAGCCCTTTGGTGTTTTCATTTTGTTGAAATGGCTTTAAAAGTTATATTGCCAGTGTTAATAGACTTGTTTGAACATGAAGTGTTCTTGTCATAGATTGTGCAGTAGGATTACACCAATTGTTTAATAATGTGACCTGTCAGATTACACTATTATCGACAATCAGTTGAAACTGGTCACAAGTTACTTTTTCTAACTGGTATCATGAAAAGTGCGACAGTAAGATTGTCAGACACACAGTGGGAAGCGAAAAAAATGCTTCAGTCTGCTGGATAGCTTTTGCAATCAGTGTACTAGTAGTATTTCTGTTATGTGCAGGTTTAAGTATATGTAATATATTATACATATTGGTCATAATTCTGCATATTTTAAATTTTGTGTCCTACTTTCATTCTATAGAATCCTATCTTAATAAAAGGTACAATTTTCGCTGCAAATGGTTAATAAAAATGAAGCTAATGCGTAAACCATCGTATTTCAGCATTAAGTAAGTGATTTGTATTGTAGTTTTTAAAATGTTTAAATCTTTGTTCTGTTTCCAAAGATGTGTCGTTAAAATTGTAAGTTTTAGATAGAAATTACATAACACAGAAAGCAAGAATCGGGTAGAATCTAAAATAAAATAAAAACATCAAGTCGTGTAATATGGTTTAGAGGGCTGAGTACAGCTCAACTAAAATTTATTGAGCGTCAAGTCAAGTCATTGCAGTTACACGTAGAAGTATGACAGTGGGAAAGGGTGACAAGATAAAATTTAATATGTTAGGGTTAAAAGAAGAATTACGTATCCAGCTATGAGATAAATTAGGTCCATCGTAGGTTCAGTGACTGAACGAACTTCTTCTGTATGCGAAATTCAGGATTTAACATTCACGTTGCCAAGACTTCTGCGATTTGAAGCAGTTTAATTCGTAATCCTTTGTATACTCTGTAAATGACTCCAAAGTTGGTTTGCGAGTTCAAATCCTGCTCTACTTACCTTATCCTGGATGCTCTTTCAGTAATAATTTTATTCACTAAACAAGCAAGTTAAAAAGCAGCTAAGATTGTTGAAGAAATAAATACACTGAAAAAAGTAAGAGAACAGGGGATGAACAAACACTGAAAACCATGCTCACAGTAAGCCAGAAACTCTATCACAGTAGATTCAAGGTGGCCAACATCCTCTGTCTATATAGGTTCACTGTGTAGAATCAAATAGCTCAAACCCTCATATCCTTAAGAGTTTCCTCGTTTTGTTGTCTTCTAGTAAACGTGAAAATCTTAGAAACGTTAGTGTTGTGGTTTTAGGTCATTAGATGCTTCGTGATAAAGCTTCATGGTACTTTTTTTTTTTACCTCCGTCCTAATCATTTATTCAGTTGCTCATTCATGCTGGTAAATGCACGCCTCTCTGAACCACCTTCATGTTTGCTTCCTCAAAAACATTTGAATCTGTATATGCAGCGTCTCATCTTTCTCTAATTGTTGGATTACTCGTTCGCTTGTGCTCAGAAACACGAGTTAACCTATATAGTGAGGTACTTCAATGCTCTTGTCTTTGCCTAACTATTTCACTTACTTGACTCATTTTAGAATGTCTGCGTGTGTTTTGTTACATAACAATATGTGGAAATCTTTTTCAGAGAATAAAAGCCTAACGAACCTCACTGAGATTTTCAAATGCAATACACCGTGGACTAACATTTCTTATTTGTTCACTTCAATGTGTGCTATTTTTGAGCTGTCAGCCAAAAATAAAATAAGGTAAATAAGTGTTCGGAATAAATGCATAACAGCTGGGACTGAATTTTTCATCTGAAGAAAGTTGTGTCATGCAAGACAGATACCACTTAAAATGTTTGCGACAATCAGGTATAAGGTTTGTTTTCGCTGTAGATAGTGAATGGATAGACAACTACTAGGAATCAGGGAACACTTGTGACTTTTCATTAGTTCATATTTCCAATCCCGTTTAAAACTTTATCATTGAGCATGTTACTATCAGTCCAACCAGATTCATTGTTGTACTAGATCGTGGTCGCTCACTCAAAACAGGTACCAAGGCAAAAAAGAAAGTAATTGTTCAGTTAAATTGAATCAGTGGTTAGGAAATTAATTTGTGATCAACAAAGGTCACCATAGTTTCCTTTGGAAACTAGAATTGTTCAGATCAAAATGTGTGCTTGACACTACAAATGGCAATTAAGTTAGCAAGAATAAATCCGTGACACTGCACGCTACTGGTTTATTGACTGATATGATTAGTTAGATACCACTCACATCAACCAGTAGTGATTCAAACACCAGATGGCTGGCTCACCTGTTTGAGGCTGGGCTCATTACCGGTGTGCCTGATTTTATTCAGCTTAGAGGGCCAAATCATTTGAAACCACCTGAATTCCTTCTAACCCCTTGGGTCCAGTGTTTTCTGATGTTATAGACATTGGGTGTTCAAAAATTCGCAACTGATTCTTTATTACTGTCCTTATGACTGTGTGTATTCAAGTCATATCTAAAATTAGGCAACTAAAAATAAGTGTAGTCATTGACTTGTTCCTTTTGTTGATTGTATCACTACACCATTATTCATTCAAATACTCCAATCAATTGTTGTCTGTTTTTCTCCTAAGGCCCTTGAATTATGGTCGACAGTTGTTAAACAAATACTTGTTAGCACTAAGTAATGCTTTGAACGCTTCAGTACGTCATAATTCAGCTCCTATAAGTTATCCACTTCTGATTATTTGTTCTTTGAGCTCAGGATTTGCAAATCGAAGAAGATCCAATCGAATAGAATCTATTGTAAGTAAAGTATATATACCTATTTCATATACTTAATTTCAGACTTGTGTAATGTATATTATAAGTTTGAAAATATTGTGTTTCTGACAGACAGACTTAGCATAACTGGTTACCGATCTCTCTTACCATAACTAAGCAGGAGGTGAGAATGAAATCAGCAGTAAGATGAAGTTAAGAAAATAAAGGTTTGAGGTATTTTAATTAAGGTGAAGATAAAAGTGTGAATGTATTTAAGTCAATACTACTGATTGTAAGTCATTTCTTCTTGAATTTCCAATTAATAGTCCTCATTTAAGCAACATACACTCTCCATGCACGTTTTGTACTAACCATATTTATTTTCTTCAGAATTAATCCTGCTTTTATAAAAATAAAATATTTGGGTGGATAGTGTATCAGCACATGTAAACTATGAAGCAAAATCTTCAGACGAAGTAATTTGATTTTGATTACAGTTTGATGCCACACCGTATTTTCAGTACAAGTATGGAATTTTCGGCATGTGATATCGGTAGCCCAAATTTTGCAGGCCGACCATAGATATCAGGTGTGCGTCGGCATAGGATTGAACCCCGGACCATGTTCATGGTTGGCAAGAGCCCTAACCGCTATGCCACCGACGCACAAAGTGCTTATCTCGAGGCCTCGCCGAGACTCGAACTGGGGTCGCCGGATTCAGAGTCCAGAGTGCTAACCGCCACACCACGAGGCCTGATATATCACGCAAGTAATGAAGAAATAATTACAAGGAGAATTTCTTCTATCTTTCAATTAGTCTGTCTTAATCTTTGTACCCAATTATTGAATTTATTTTCACTAAGTTTATATTGGTTCTGTCAACTCTTTGCGATTTCTTGTTGCTTGTTGGTAGATAACAGCCAAAATGGCTTGAATGAAATACTCCAGTACTGATAATTCTGCTTTATATCTTGTTTGACGGTATGTGTTCTAGTTTCTTTGTCTTTATAAATGAAATCCCCATTTAGACATTTAGAAAACAGAAAGATTGAGCGAAGAAATATTTACTTTTCAATTAGATCCTCATCTCTGGCTCTACTCTAATATACATAACATTTTTATTACGATACACAACAATTTACCAATCAACTGACGATATGTTTGTTAGCAGTAATTAGTCAGTGTCAAAATGTCAATGAGGTGATAACACAATTAAAAGGTAGAAATGGTTACAACACGTGGATTGCATAATGCATAATTTTGGAAAAATGAAGAGTAATTAAGAAATAAGCGTGTGCACAGGTTGATTACATAACAGATTGTTAGAGATAATAAGACGACTTGGACAATGATAATTTGTAACTAAGGCTGAAGTGGTCATACAAATTAAATAATTTCACAAGGATAACACGTAATTAAAGATAAAGTAGTCAGAAAAAATAAAACAATTCGGACAATTATAATTTTCATGATTTTTAAGGGTTTAGGGGGAGGGGGCAAAGTAGTCCAGTTAATACAATCATTGTCCAAGTTGTCTTATTATCTTTATTAATCTGTTATGTAATCAACCTGTGCACACGCTTATTTCTTAATTACTCTTCATTTTTCCAAAATTATGCATTATGCAATCCACGTGTTGTAACCATTTCTACCTTTTAATTGTGTTATCACCTCATTGACATTTTGACACTGACTAATTATTGCTAACAAACATATCGTCAGTTGATTGGTAAATTGTTGTGTATCGTAATAAAAATGTTATGTATATTAGAGTAGAGCCAGAGATGAGGATCTAATTGAAAAGTAAATATTTCTTCGCTCAATCTTTCTGTTTTCTTTGTCTATCTTACATTGTTTGATTTTGGGTAGCATTATAATTTAAGAAACACTAAGGTTCATAAGTATGTTGTTAAACATAGTAATCATAATTGTACGTCAAGCCACTTATGACTCTATAGTCACATTGACTAGACATATGACAATGGGTCACTCTGCAGTGACCTATCAGTGTATCAATTACAGTCCTACAGGAGGTCAGTAGTCAACCTGATTAACTCAGTGGTAATGTCTCTGACTGCATCACTGAGTGGGTGATGCTGGTTGGAGTCTCAGAAGAAACATCGGCTCCTTCAGGGTTGCAGATACGCTTCACTGAAAAGTGACAATGAGCGTAAGACCTGGGTTCAGAGCATCGTGTCAATCGCCGTCGACTATCTAACATGTTAAATACATTTTTTATGGCCTATTTATGCAATAATCAATCATGTATGCTGAAGATTTCCTGATTTTTTTCAATATTTCATGATCGCTTTTGTTTTGTTTATTATTTGTGGATTTATGTGTACTTCTCTTCCTTTTTTTACTTTTCGCTTGAAGACGAAGCTGTTGAATTTTGTACTTGGTGCAATCTGTTATTCATTATGTGAACAGCCTACAGTTTATATTGTTGTGGATACAGATTATAATGTTATTCCTATACAGATATATTGTTGTGGTTCGATGAACCATCAGTGAAAACAAAGAAGAGAGACAGGCAAACAGCTTTGTTCCGTTCAACAAATGTACCATTATTCAATAAAGCAAAACTAATATATGATAACTGCTATGTAAGCACATTTCTGTTGTTACCTATTATTATTTTATTGTGTCCTTGGGTTTGGAGTGGAATATAGGGCTTTAGCAGCACATCTCCATTTTACTCTCTTTTCTGCAGTTGTTCTTCCCTGGATCAACGTTACCCATGACCTTTATTTCCCCCGTACACAATCTCTTCCGTATCGCCTTCGCACCCACGTCCCACTCGTTTACTATTCAGGTTCCAATCTAGGGCCCGGTGTGTGATATAACTTGATAGTCTCCACAGCATATTTCCACTTCATCTCCATTTCTATGTTGGGCAATAGGTTCTTGGTTGGTTTCCTGCCAGTGTTCCTTACTGCCTATCCTTTTCTTTTTTTGTTCCATTTGTGGTATGATTTGGGAAGTTTGATTGATTGATTTAATGGTTGGAGGCAGTCGTCAGAAAGTCTTTGAGGACTAGATGACTCATATGTGTCGGCACACGTTACGATGTTGTGTGTATGTTAGCAGGAATTAGTCTGTCTCTGGAAAACGGAAAACATATCATACATTACTCAATACATAGGTCAGATACATATCAATAATTACTAATGCATATTCTTTAGCATATCTCTAAGTCTGTTAGTCTTTTAGTTTTTGCTTCATATTTCAACCTCATATAGCTAAAACAGCTGTTTTTAAACTGGAAGTAATCAGAAACGACTTGAATGCAATGATGAAAGTAGGTTGCTAGAGGAATTATTTATCTCGAGTATCCGTAAGACAATAAATAGTTAACTGTCGGATGAATGTATCTAATACATTATCAGTTTGCTCAAGTAGCTAGCCGGGATTAGAATGGTTTATACTGATTCGGCTCTCTGAGTGGAGTCCCCCAGGGTTCAGTGCTGATGAGCTCGCCTCCAGATGAGCGGAGCAGACGTCAATTTGATTAGCAATCTCTACTGGTCGATGTAAGTGGTAAATAGATCAATAGGTAGTATACAGTACCATACATTTATTAAATAGTTGTGGGTTGTATTGTCTGAAAGTGTCGAAATAGAGTCGATAGTTGAGGTAGGTCCTCAGTATTAACCAGACGTATAGTTATACAGAACTTATAAAGACGGGTAACCATTGTCTAATCTAATAACAGGCATTCTATTTACCCTAGTAAGATTTTGATGTAGAGTGATATGGTTAGTGTTATGCGGGGAAATGACCATTTTTCAACCTTTGAATTCTAATTGAGTCATGTAGCAGAATAGAAGTGAAACTACACTTTTTTGTTTCACAATGCGTCATTGTTTTAGACGTATGAAATTCGTCTATACAAGTAGGTGGGAAGATAGGTCTGGTCGATCCAAGATGACGCTTTAATTTTGAAAAGTGCTGATTCGTCTCACAGTTGAGTGTATCACAGATTTATTTATGCCACAAAGTCATCTGACAAGTATTACTCATTCAAAAATTGACATGGAATAAATTAAAGGAACTATAGTTATTATAGCTATTATAAAAATGCAGACTTGGAAAATTATAGGCATCAGGAGATGAATCACATATTTATACGAGGGCTGAAATGCTGTTTCGCCGTCCGGGCTGAATCAGGTGGTCGTCTTAAGGGATCATAGCCTGAGTCTTTGACTTGAAGTTTGATCCACAAAACAGTGGAGCTGCGTTCCTATGGTTTCCAGTGATGAAAACAGGTCTATACGCTTTTCTATGCTTTCGGATTATGGCGCATATGTGCACAATAGGTTTGGGATCAGGGTTTTCCAGCTCCTCTTGGTAAACCTACGTGTTCACCAGTCTGGTCTTAAGCGTAAGATGTTTGCATTCTCCTTTTCGCTTTTTTGAGCAACACCCCCGGATTATAGTAATGTCAATAAGATGTCATTATCGGCCCATTTTATTAACTCCAGTATTTTTACCGATTACTTTCACTTAGATATAAAGTGTCTGTAATTTGTCTTCTGTGTAATCTTGTTCACTATTAGGTTGATGTAAAAATTATGGTAAATGCAAATAACACTGTTGAGTTAAAAGAAAGGTTTCTTTTCCCCGACAGGAAAGTTTTCACTGTCAAGAAACTGAATCCTGATGTATATACTCTCAACCAGTGGTTTGACTTCATTTACATACTTTTATAACTCACACGAAGAACACATATCTTGAGTTATTTTGATCTGTAGCGATAAAGATATTTTCAAGCTCATTTTAGGTATTACATTGTAAGGATTCAGTAATTGTAGCACTATGAGTGGAATGCGTTTACGCATGGAAAATAGCACTTAGATTTTCTGCGGTTAACTCGACAAAAGTGTGTTGACGTCGGTGTTGAAAGTTCTCAACTGATTATATATTTCGCGATGAAGTTATGAGCTAGTTGTCTGTGGTTTCCATTGTTTTATAGGTGACAATATCTGGTTATGGGGACTACTGTTACGTTATATTGTTAGTACTGTGTTAAAGGTGGTTTAGTTTCTCGTGAGTACTGTTGGACAGTTTAAATTATCTCGTGTTAGTACAGTTTTCCTTTATAGTTATAACATTTATCCTTTTATAATTGCTACTTCTAATCGCACTTGTCATTGTTCCATTTTATTGTATTTCCTGTAGATGTACAGTTTTCCCCTGTCTTCAATCCTTGATAAATTTTGTGCATTTCATAAAAAGGTTAGTTTACAACAAAATGTAGTTGAAGTTCACTATTTTGTATGCTTCAGTGAAGAAATCAAGATTCCCTTATTTTCTTCTTTTCTTGTGCCGAAAGTGTTTTATTGTATGCTCAGAAAAGACTGTTTCGTTCCTTGATTTGTGAGTGGAATACAGTGCCTAACGTGCACACCTCTGATGCATTCGACTCTGTCCCATCGTATTCAGTTGTCTGCACGACTGCTCACATACTTTCATACATTTCCTTATCACATGATCCTCTCCATGTCACTGCGAGACACTCAGCTCGTCGAGGGTAGCAAAGTGTACTTCGTTTTTTATTCCATGTGAAAGAAAGTGTTTAATAGAAGTACTCAAAATGTGTGTATATACATGGTAGTGAAAAAACTACATTCAGATATTGAGTTCTTCTGAGATTTGATTGATTTTAGTGTAAATTTCATCAGTAATTGAAATCACCCAGAGAGTAATTGAAAACCAAAGGCAGATGGATTGGCCATACGCTGAGGAAACCATCAAGTGACATCACTAGACAAGCCCTCGAGTGGAACCCGATAGGGAGGCGGCTAGTTGGTCGTCCAAGGGTGACTTGGAGGAGGTCATGCGAGGAGGAGATGAAAGCATGTGGGCAGACTTGGAGAGGAGTGAAAAAGTTGGCAGAAAACCGAAGGCAATGGAGACGCGTGGCTGAAGCCCTATGCTCCTCTAGGAATTAAAGGATATAATAATAATAAAGGGCAATGGGCACTTCTTTCTTTCCAATGGAACCCATTGACTGTGACGTCGCTAACAATTTGAATGTATGAACAGTTGCTTAATGATGATAGTGCATAGCTATGACACCATACCACGAGTTGACAGGTTTTATAATTGATGAACTGTTGTACTCTAAGCCAATGAGTAAAAGACAATCTGCTAGTCTCAAAACTTAAAGGTTTTTGATTCCATCTCCGATGATTTGTCATATATGTGCATTTCTGAAGTGTTATAAACTAGGACAAAACATCTTTTCCAACTAATGTCAGTTTGTGACAAGATCTACCTTGAAAGGTATGTTTATATATGTTAAATATTTTCCTTTGTCCTAAACTAATTACCTCTGACAAAACGTTTCGATGCATAATTCAAGGTTTGCATTTTGGGGGTTTCCTTCTGTTTACTTTGAGCTGATTATGAATGAAATTTGAAAACGATGAAAAAATTTATAGTTTAACTATCGTTGTGAAATATGGCTATTTTAGCCACAAATACTATCTACAGGCAAATACGGAACACTGAAAACAGTAGTACACACCAGACATACATGTAACTGACAATATGCACTTCTCTACACTAGCAACAACAATAATGATCAGAAACACCATGAAGTAGTCACTTGTTTTGTCCAGGTTACCCGTTCTACTTTATCCTGCTTAAGCTAACATTGAACTCTTGTGTAAACGGTGAGTTAAATACACGCAAAAATTATCCTGATCTTGTCAGTTGATGAAGCTTTCCATCCTCACCAACTGATTCATCTATTCTGGTATTAATCTTTAAGTGATGAGACAAACAGTGTACTGTTAATAAGTTTGAACTTTTTTAACATCTTTCCACAGAGTGAAGGTGTTGTTATTCAAGATGTTGATTGTCCTTTTAGAGCAGCTTACTGCTACTACACTCGGTAGTAGTAGTGTGGTAGGCAGTAATTTACGTCAATGTTTACGTCCTCAATATTGGTCGTGAGAAAAATAAGAACAGTGACTGATTCAAAAACCAACCACAGCAGACTTTGCGTAGGTGGATACAGTTAGCATATAGATGATCTGACATTCAAGAAACAGTCACAAAGAGGTGAAAGATTAACTTTCAGTAAGAAATAACCAATCAGAAACTGTGTTTGTCAGCTAACAATAATCTGTAATAACTTGCATGAAAATCTATAAATCTGTGTTGATTTCCTGAATGAATTATCTGTTGACTGACCCTTATCTTCTGTTGTTACAGTAGTACTATATTGGTGGGATTAATTATTTCTTAAATAATTGTTAGGTGAAGAAATAAATTATCTATTTCTTGTCTTCCCATTATCTTTATGACAATTTTAGCATTGTAACGTCTGCAGAAACAATCATTCCATTCACTTTAGCTCGAAGGGTTAATATTTTTAGATACTAAGTCAACTATCATATCAATCTAGCATTTATAATCGCGAAATTTAACTCACTGAAAACCAGGGTGTACTGAATAGCTGTCTCATCGTTATTTGAGATTCTTCTTCAGTACTCACCTACAACCCCATCAAGGATTAAACTGGGCACCTTCACCTTCCAAGGCGAGCTCTTCGATCCTTGGTGGAGTCATGGGCGCGTACTGATGAGGAATCCCAAACAGGGAGGAAGCGACTGTCCTGTACACCCTTGTTTTCAATGGTTCTGTAACTCGTGTAAGTTTGTTATTAAATATGAATTTAGTAAAATCGCTGCTAACCAACGCTTGAAAACGTAGCCCAGTCTGTAATCCTCTTATATTCATGGATTTATACATTCTTTCCTTTCTATGATGGCTGTAGTTTGATAAGGTCGTTGTATTTGGTGACTGTCATGACGATATTGCTAAATTCGTCCTGAATCACCGGACGAATCTTGGACCAATAAAAGCTATTTGGAGCAATATTAGTGGAAACGACAAGTGGTAAGTATTGACACATAATGAAGTTGTACTTCTATTAATGTTCATTTAGTGTTTAGGGTGAAAACCTGGTAAAAAGCATGTGAAGCAATGGAATATTTAGTGTGTTTGTTTCATGTTTTCCGAGTTAATTATCTCTCAGTTGGCCACGATGAGGTTATCTAGTCTGATAAGTATAAATTTAGGTATGTGGAGTATTTTTGATATCTTCTAAGTTTCATGTGATGAGGGATAATGCTGTGTTTAAGAAAGAAGCAGCAATTTAGTCATTTAGGATATGGTGTACACTTTTCTGTGTGTCGGTGGTTTAGCCGTAGAATACTCGCCAACCATGCACGTGGTTCAGGGTTAGACTTCTGGTCGGCGCACCTTTACCTGTCTTAGTTGGCTGTAAGCTTGGTAGAGACGAAAGGTTGGACGTGAGGCTAGTAACCCCATCCCGTAAAAGTAAAAACCACTGCTACAGAAACTTCAAAAGCTTAAGCTTTAAGCCGTATGTTCTACTAGGAATACAAGGGAATAAAATGGAAAAATGAATGTATACACTTTCCTGAACAGAAGTCGATTGTGAAATTAAGTTAGCTAAGATGGATTTTTTTGCATGGTTGTGTTCTCTCAGCTGGATAGTCTATTTGCAAATCTCTCATTTCTTTTCTAGACAGTATCTTCAGCCTAATATATCTGCGAAACTTGGGCACTGTGGTAGTATGTAATTCCATATTAATTTGTTTATTAGATGTACCAAACAGTGAAACAGTATTATTTACTGGATAATAATATAATAATGCTTCAATGTATGATATATCTAATAAACAAATTAATATGAGATATATTCATCTCTTTCTTCAATATGGAGTGAGGTTTTTCGAATTCTCCGTGGTTGATATAACTCTCTTCTGGTCAACTTGGCAGTGATGACTCGTCTTCAGAAGTTTTCTTATCCTTGTGTTAACGTATGCTACAAATTAATGCAAGGATAAGAAAATTTCTGAAGACAGCCAGTCAAAATCAGGGTCACCAGAAGAGACAGTTATATCACTCACGGAGAATGCCAAAACATCACTCTACATAAAAACTGACATGAAAGACGTTGTCTAGAAGAATAAAAAAAGCCTCCTAATCATACCAACCAGCTCAGAGATCACAACTACACTAAAACACCTGTTTAATTTGTTCCTTTTTAAATGCTTTGAAATTATGTAATTTTGATCTCCGAGACGCTATATCAGATAAGATAGACAGTGTCGACCTGGATTCAATATTTCGTTATAAGCCTATACCATTGTTCGTTAATTTCGTGCTAAAGCGTCTTTTTTAAACAATATATTAAACCCGAATAATGTGGAATAGTATTCTTCACTTGGTGTTTGATTATGCTCTTTTTCAGGTGCACTTCATTCCCAATGACAGGGTGGATAGAGTCAAAGGGGTTAACAGATGATGTCTTTGAATATTTGACGCTACCTCGAGAGAAAGTTATGGTGGAACAAATTGACAAAATTGATGAAATCTACGGCTTAAATTCCTCTCCATCGTTACCTATTCAACTTGATGGACTTACGGAGGCAAGAAAACAACTCATAAGCCAAAAAATAAAATCTCAGTGAGTAGTGTTTGAAAGGTTGCTCAGTTTATTTTAGATTTGGTTGGTACTAGAAGGTTTACAAAGTCATAGTTTGTGTTGGATGAGAGCACCTCTTGAGCATTGTAATAAAGGTTAGGTATTGAGTTGAGGGTGACATAGGCAAGTCAACTATGAACGTCAAAAACCTCTTCTGAAGTGTTTTAGACATGTGTTGTACGTGCGCTGAAACCCTCGGGCTGAGTGTATTGTATTTGTAGGAGTAAAGCTAAGTTGGAATGAAGCGATTGTCTTTGGATTTACAAGTATATGAAGTCAATGAATGGTTGCTGATGTGTACAGAAATAAAGTTTGCTTGATTTGTGTCTGTATTACCACACGAATCAAAGACTACCAATCATAGGTGATATGCTTGAATATCAAACCCGGTGGAGTAGATACACTGACATCTTGTCTTTCTCTTAAATGCAGTATCATTTGTACTAATCCCCTTGTTTTGTTTTGGGCCACTACACCACGTTCAGTTTCTTTATTTTCAGTCTCGTCTGATGTTTTTTGTTGTGTTTTAACTGATTTGTTTATATGAAGTCTGGCAACACGGATTACAACTCAGTAACGCTGACGTCTATTTCCTCCATGTATTTAGTCTTTTCATTGGTAGCGGCTTCACGAGTATCATTCAAGTGACACTCTGTTGCATTCTGATTTCTACGCGCTAGAAATCTTAGTTAATTCAAAGAGATATATCTTTAAATGCTATAGGAATTAAATATATACAGAAACAGTAGTACTGCATTGTGGAAGGGTTATTTTTTACATCCACAAGCATCGACGTTGTTTTAGCTGGTGTTGTACGAAAAATTGAAGCAGTATTAAAGATAATGCTTTGCGATTATCAATAAAATTGTAACTGATATGTCTAAATTATAATTTTGCAATTAGTAGTAAAGTAGCATAGGTTTTGAATGGGTAAAAACTCTCTTTTATCAATCCCTCTTCCACTCTGATTATAGCCTACAAACAGCTGCCTTATAATATCGGCTGCTGTCGTACTTTAAATACTTTGTGGAGCGCGCCATAAACAGTTCGCAAAGAGCAGGCTTAGTGTCTTGCAGGTGGCGGACGCATAAATCACGCGTCCACTACGCTTTAGTTGTTGGATCGCTGTCACATGTATTGCGGGCCGCTAAGTGTTGTATCTCTTGACATTAAAGCTGCGTTAGATTATTTGGAATTATTTGTTATCGAAAAGTATCCTTAAAAACTTTGGAAGCCCTTGAGAAATCACGATGGCTCTCAACTTTGATGTAAAATATGGTTACTTAGGCAGTACTACAAGAATTTAAATAGAGAACAGCATATTTATTAGTTGATTATCTTTAGTGCTGATAAAAATTTACCAGAAAACTCTGCCCTATGACTATTAAGCTGAGTAAAATCAAACTACTGTGCAACTTTAATTGGTGGACGGTGAGTAGCAGTGGAACCCAGGATGCGCATTTCGTCCCATTTGGGACTCGTCATCCGGATGTACCTGCATTTCTTAGTGAGTGATGATGTTCCCAACAAGGCTCGAACCCAGTGCCCGTAGTTTCAAACGCCAAAGCGTTATCCACTAGACCACTCGGGCCACGAGAGCGACCTCTTGTACAACGGGTCATATTAATTTAGTTGAATTTTTGATTTTCCCGTCGATTGATTGGACCGAAGTGCTCGGTCTCAGGTTGACATGTCGGCTTCTTCATTCACTGAGAAATGCAGGTACATCCAGATGACGAGTCCCAGGTAGGACGAAATGTGCACACTGGGTTCCACTGCTAGTCACCATCCACCAATTAAATACTAAATGCCCAGACATCGTCGAAGCATCTGCACGAGAAGCCGACATGTCAACCTGAGACCGAGCACTTTGGTCCAATCAATCGACGGGAAAATCAGAAATTCAACTAAATATAATGTGCAACTTGTTTGAGCGTGTTTCATCCACATAAATAACAATTACCAACTTGTTTGCTACACATAAGACACGGACTTGCAGATATAACATTCAGCAATACTTTTATTATGTTATTCAATATTTTAATTAGTCTTTTAACATGCATTGGTGATAATGCACTTAGTAATGTTTCTCAATCAGTTTCAACATTTATGGGGAAAATGAGCAGAGGCTTAAAAGTTATTATTATTATTCTTTTTGGTTCTGAGGGGAACATAGGAATTTAGCCGAGCGATGCTGGGGACATCACTCTTACCAAATTCCCATGAAACTTCATGAACTCTCTTACAAATTGCCGCGCCTGGGCAGCGATGATTCGAGACGTTCATGAAGCCGGCTCATCCTCCCGTAGGAGATAGCCGAAGTAAAGTAAAAGTAAGTAAGTATAGGAATTTAGCAACACATTTCCATTTCACCCTCATCTCTGCATTCTGCCTTCGGTTGGCTTCACGATGGGCTTCCACCTTCTTTTCACAGTATCTCCTACATGCTACCCTCAGAACCACGCTTAACTTGCCGTTTCCCGTTTAGGTTCCACTTGGAGGCTTGACTCAACTGTCTCTTCAACATGTGTCCAATTCATCCCCATTTTTCTCCGCATATTTTTGGGTATTGAGCTCTTGGTTGGTTTGTTGACCCAGAGTTCCTTGTTGTTTACCTTTTCTAGACATCTACAGTCCACAGTGGCCACGACCGAACATTTACAGTCACATCGGACGGTGTGTCGTTTTTGTGCTAGTATATTGTACAGACAAGTTCAATCAGTAGGTACACTGTTTAGACTTACTCCTGATCTCCCTTTAAGTGAACGAACCCTATGAGCGACTGTCGCTAGTCACGAACCACAAATGAAATTTAAAAGTCGTGCTCACTAAAGATACCCTAATGTACCTTAGGAAACAAAATCCCAACTCATATATGAGTTACCAGCTTAGTGATTACTGGCATCAAAATTAATCAACTCCCAAGTGAATCCTTTTCTTATTAAAAGTGGTATTTTGCTAGTGAATTCGTATAAAATAATGTAATTAAACTTCCAGTATCATCTGATTATGAAGTGATATATTTGAATTCGGGATAAAATCTGACTATCTTTCTTGGCATATTTTAATTTACTTTTTCGGCATGTTTTGCTTTATCACCTTAGACACAAATATTGTCGGTTGTATATATCTTCCTATTATGGAGATATGCACACAGAACGGAACTTGATTTTTAGAGATACGTTACCAAAGTTACGCCGAAAATTCTCTTCACCCTTGAAGATAAACTTTGATCATGTTGATTTACGTTTCGAAGCATCTGAAGCAGCCTTGCATACAGTTAAAGGCTTGGAACTGTGTTTAAGACAAGCGACAGCCTGTGATATATTCGTTTTGCTATTGGGTGACAAGTAAGTCTATTTAATCTTGGAGATTGTTCTTCACATTATAAGTCTATATGGTCATAGGAAGTATTTTAGTTTTTAAGCTTTGTTGTAATGGATGATGATTGAAGGTGAAATGATAATCTGGATTGTGTGTGTGTATGTGTGTGTCATTGTATTCTCCGAGCTAGACAGTTTATTTACGAGACTTTCATTGTCTTTATGGACAACACCTTTAGCGTACACTTTAATCTGAAATATGTGAAGGAGATGCTATTTAAAAAGAGTAAAAGCTTTGCAACTAAACTTTCCAGCTCAGAGAATACAACTACATCAGTTCCATCCACCTGAGCTACAAATCTCCATCGTTTGGATTGCTGTAAGAAGCAAGCCAGTGGCCTTCGAATTACTAGTCAGTCTATGTAGCAGCTTAGCTACGATACCTAACTGCTAACCCGGTCATCATTTCACTGCAGTCATCATGGCTAAAGCCCAGTTATCATGTCAATGAATGGTATGTTGCTGTCCGTTAGCCAGGTATTGATGAAATACAAACCTATCTGACTATATCCAATGGAATTGGTACTGTTTATACTGAGGACTTTATATTTTATGGCCTTGCCGATCATTCAGTGTATATGAGTTTCGAATATAACAGAAAGCATAAATAGGAGTGTGAAGATTCATGGTGTCTTTTAGAAATATCCACATATTTATTTCCGCTTGGTGTGCTCCAGGGTTGTATTATAAGGCTGCTGTCGAATACCTAATGGGAAATGACTTAGTTATCTCTTCCATACTGTAGACAGAGTGAGTAGGAGGATCGGTAGGTAATCTGTGTTATGTACTATCAAATGTAAAAGAATGTCGGAGTATTACATATGTTGTTTAGAAGAGTAAAACTGAACTATTCAAATGCTTCAAGCTGCATACTGCTACATATTTATTTTTGCGAATGTATACCTTAAGCTATAGTTTTTTTTCACTTACTTGGTTTAATTATTGTTGCACTTTGTCTATGCAGTTCATAATAACTTTAGTTTAGCTGCCAATTACTTTAATGACAACACATTTTCTTGAAAAAACCATTCATGGTGTAATTTTTTTTTAGCAGTACACTGATGAAGTAGATACACGAATAGTTAATTATTTAAAATTGTGAACCAAAGGACGCTTATAGCCCTGGTGGCTTTGGCATTTGAAATAATGGGCGCAGGGTTCGAGTCTCCGTAAGAACACCATAACTCAATTAGAATACGGCCACAACCAGATGAGGAGTCACAAAAAGGACGAGATGCTCTTCCTGGATTCCACTTCTAGACGTCATCGACCATAACAACTTCACGTCAATATTCAGACATCGTTGAAGGGTCCGTACTCGGAACCAGCATGCCAACGGTTGGTCCAACGTAATCAACCAACGTCAAACTAACCTAGAAACAAGTAAGGTTAATGCTACTTGGTTGGTAGTGGCTGTCAGTCGAATTTACAGTGCACTTTTTGTCCTATTTGGGATCAGTCAGCTGGATGGTTCTGCATCTTCAGTGAGTTATAATGTCCACAGTGAGACTTGACCCTACGCTCATCGTTTGCTGGGCGCTCTCTGGGCTCCACTGGTAGGTACCACCAACTAAGTGACATCATTTCCGTCCCATGATATTGTCGAAGCGTCTCTACGAGAAGGAGAAATGTTAACAGAAACCTAATACTTCGATCGAATATAATCTGTCCACGGGAAATTCAAAATGACTTCAAAAACTCTACCGATAGCCAATAAATTAATGAATAAAGTAGAACTATTACCTTTACATGGGTTATATTATTAATAACAGAAATAAATAACCAGTGAGTGAAAATGAGACCTAACATGCACTGCTGACCAATATAGGCAGTTATAAACTACTGGTGTCGGCCAACAGTATTCTTGATTTTAATCCTATTTATGATTATGCCAGGTGTCTCATCTAATTTGGGCGTTTATATCTCTGGTTGTGTAGAATGCCTAATAGCTATCTGTTTTGTCCCAACTGATACCTACCAACCTGACGTCGTGGTCGGGCTTGCATGTCACGATTACCCAACTGGGAACATTGGCTGGAACTGATATGATACAACTTGATATGATTATGAGAAATAGTTTGTGTTGGAAACGTCATCAGTTAATATTACTGTACAAGTAAGTGTGATTTATCCATAATGGAGTTATGCTCTACCACAGTGCCGAAGTTTTATACTTATATCATCGAGTTTTGGTTTGTAGGGATTTGATTGATTTCAATTTAGGACACAAACTATTATCAGGTAGACAACCTTTCAAAACCGAGGAGTACTGGACAACTGTTTCATCTTGGTTTAGGCCTCTTCAGTAGTACGTACAATTGGCCCCACTGGGAATTGAAGCCGCGACACTTAGGTATGAGTCCAACTCACTGGGACAAAATCTAATTACCAGTTGTCAGTTAAATTTAGCAGTTATTATGCGGTGAAAATGAACTGTTAAATCACCAGTCCTGTGTCGAAAATAAATGTCGGTGCACTTTTGTAACCTGTTTCCACTATATAAAGGTGTTACTATTAAAGTATTTGAAGATATGATTATCAGCATGTGTAGACTTTGATAATTCTGAGTGAAATAAGTATCTGTAAAAATTTTTTTCAATCAGTTATGGCTGGATTCCAGATGAAGCTTTAGTGAGAGCTTTACCCGACTCAATTTTATCGGAAGTTAACAAGTTTTATAGGCCAGGAATGTCTGCAATAGAGATGGAATATCATATGGCAAAACTGGCTGCAACATGTAAAAGTTCTGATGCTGAAGCAACTTATGAAATACTTCGTCCAAGAATTTTCGTATTCATTCGAAAACTACAGTTGAGGTATGTTAATGCAGTTGTTTCGTTGGTGATTGCATGAGTAATTTTTCTCCCTATAAATGTTATTTATTGTATATCGGCAGTTCAATGGCTGGCATGCACACTAGCCATGTGAGTAGTCTCGGATCGATTTTAAGCCGACACACTCGTAAACCTCTCCCATCTCATAGTAATCCTAAAAAGTGAGGGAAGATCGGGCGTGAGGCCAGTAACTCAAGCCGATGAAAACAGCACCTTCGCTACTGAAACCTCAATGCATGGGACCTTGTGTACCTCTTGGAACTCACGCAAAGAAAAAAGCAAGAAATGTTATTCATCGTCTGAGTTTTATTATTTCTCCATTTCTTTTTGATGATGATTAACTATTTTAATGGGAAGGTGTTAAACTGACTTTGTCTTTACTTACATTATCAGTGTTTACTTACAGTTACTTCTACGGACAGTTGAATTCTGAAGAGTCTTCATGGCTGTGTTTATGTTTGAATAATGAAAAATCTTTATAGCTTAGATGGATGATTTTGGTGATGTTTTTTTCCTTGAGTTGAACGGTTAAATTGCTGAGCTTTCATTCCTCTTATGCACAACATTTTCGACACTAATTTGAGTGTGAAATGCGCTTTGAGAATTCTCCATAGATGAAATACTTGTCTATCCTAGTCATCTCAAAATCATTCACAATAGCTCAAGTGACCAATATTTTCAACCTAGTCATCAAGTGATTCAATTCTCACCCAATTTATGATTTTTTGTCATATACCTTTAATCAGATAAAAGTGCGTAGTTCCTATTGTCATTATGAAAAGCTTTTCTACTACGATAGGATCATATTTATTCACTAATTTCATTCGTAATATTTCGAGTGGAACATTGGACTTCAAGCCTCTTTGAAGTTTTAGTAGCATTACTTTTTTCACGAGGTAGGGTCGCCAAGCCCACATCCGCCCTTGCCTCTTTTCTGGACTGACTGCTGTCTAGGCGAGGTTAAGAAGTATGTCAGCCGTAAATCCATCTTGGACCAAGTGATGGACATTCTACTACTGAACTACCCACACACGATAGGACTGTAGAAAAGTGTTATTTTACTATTTCCATGCATAATTTAAAATACAGCGAAAGCGTGTTTGTGGCGTCCAGTATTACGGTTAGTGGATAGAAAGATTCTACTTTCAGACCATATGATTCATGCACGTGCATTATATCCTACGAGATTCACAAATCTCGTTAAATTCAGAATATTTTTCCATTCAATCAAGTCTGCATGAAATACATCCAAATTGTCATTTTAGCATACTAATTATGTCTTTCCGAATAAATAGGATGGAATTTAACACCCCAGGTTCTTCTATATTTCAAACACTTGACACTGCTGATTCACTATTGTCCTGTTGGCTTTTCCACTATCCTTCATGTTTTTTTCAGACTGTTCTATTTAGAAAATTACTACTTTTCATCATGTGTAAGAGGAAATACTAGTAGTATTATTGTTAGTATAGTAGTGGTAGTTGTGTTTAAAACTTTAATTCATAGCTGTTTGTGTAATTGCAAACCATTCTGTGAGTACGTAACCTTAAGGACTGTTATCCTTGCTGATTCTGAAATCGTGTTTCAGTTCGACCACGTTGAGTACAGGGCTTATTTGTATTACCTTTCAGCGTGTACCTCAATTAGTGATTATCTTATTCAAAATTTTAGCAATATACCAACTGAACACACAGAAGTACTTTGTGATCATGATTCTGTGAGAATTCAACGTCTAAATGACTTTAAACAACTCATCGTGAGGGATAGAGTTGTTTCACATAGGTACGTTAAGCTTTTACACTTTTACATTGATTTTCGCCTGTATATATTTTTCTGGTTTTAATCTCCTTTGGTTTAACTGTTAGTTGGTTACATCACTAGAGTTTCACTGAGTAAAAAAACTGCAGTTCCCTTAAATTTTAGTCACATTCATGTAAATTTATGTGCGAAATTCGAATTTCTATCATTAAAGCTTGTGTATATTCACAAATTTTGAATTCCCAAGCTCTGCGTTTGTAGTGGAGTAATAGACGTCAAAATAGTTTTCTTCACGAATCGACATCAGATAGATAAGTTTTGACGAATGTCATCTTTTTCACCCTTGTTTGGAAATTTTGAGCAGTATATACCGCATGATTCTCTTCTGTGCGTCGGTGGCACAGTTGTTAGAACTCTCGCCAACCATGCACATGGTCTGGGGTTCGATCCCCTGCCGACACACACCTGATATCTATGATCGACCTGCGAAATTCGGGCTACCGATATCCATGCTGAAAATTCCATACTTGTACCAAAAATACAGTGTGGAATCAAGCTGTAATCAAAAATAAAATACTGTATAAGATATCTAGTTTACTGTCATCATATCTGATGGCAAGTATCTCATATTTTATTCTTGGACTATGATCTGATGGTCTTTGTCACAATCTCTCCTAAACTCAAATAAAATGTCTCGTACGAGGACGGGACATGTATCTGGGACTGCTTGGTCTCCGTGATATCAAGTTATTAAGTTCCTTACAAAATATTTATCCGGATAAGTACAAGTTGTTCAATGTCGACCATTGCATATATACTGGTTGTTTTATGATTATTGGCTGGTTGATTCACCACTAACACGTCCGTTGGTTTATGGAAAGGCTATTTGCTATTTGTTATCAAAGTCTAGAGAGAGTTGAAATACATCCAAAATTCTACTTGCGACCACTTTTGGAGAAATCCAACTTTCTTTTCGTGTGTTTTTATGCCTTTTTCTAAGAATCATTAACTAGTCAGCATTTTTGTAAAAATTCTTCAACATCAGTTTCTTTTACTATTGGTTTAAAAAACAAATGGAATTTATTTTGTAATTTCAGTTATCCTTCTGAGTTTATTGGTGTATTTGATAATCATCCAACAGTTGGAAATCTGGATGAGTTTGCCAGTCTGTTTTTAACCACAATTGAATTAGCTATTCCGCAGTTATACACTTTTCGCGTAAGTGTTTCTTATGGTGAATTTGTTTCTCAAAAATAACTAATTTCATACCATTCATATTTGATTCACGGGAATTTGTACCACAATTGGAGTGAGAAGTTGTATTCAGCTGCTGAGTATAGGTTTTAATACTATTCTGTTTATAAGACTTAGTATTATCGGGCTTGAGTGTGTTATGATCTAGATGCAGTGGTCGAAGTTTAAAAAAACAGTAAACACTCGGTCCCTTTACAACAATGGTGTACTACTGACAGGAATATGAAAGTAGTAGTAGTGCGAAGCCTTCTGTCAAAATCCTGAATAGCGAAGCGACGGATTAAGTTGCAAAGATGAAAAATGATGATTGCTGTGAACTAACATGGAAAGCATGAAATCAAGACACAAGAAGAAGTATACAAGTACTGTTTGAAAATTCAAGTTTCATATTTCCCTATCACTAAGTATCATTTTGCTAAATATAGAAATCTCCTGTCAAATACCTTTATGTTGCACCGTTGGAATAATTGCAATAATAATAGACAGAATATCTTGGACGCTATATTCATTATCCCGTGTTTGATGCATACTTTTATTTTATTGGCTTTATGGATTAAGAAGTCATCTTTCATAGATAGGCTTCTTAGTTTCACTTGGGAAATTGAGTGATTCCATATTATCCCATACACTAAGTTTGACTCATAACACGCTGCGTAAAACTAACATCCGTTAATTGAATCACGTTGCTTTATTTCCATCATGCTAGGTACTACTAATTAGTTGATATGAATAGTTAGATACCACTCAAATCGATCAGTAGTGCTTGATAGTCATATCGAAGTAGTCTAAACACCTGGCGGCTGTTTCGCTCGTTTGGGACCAACCTGATCCCGTTCGACTCAGCGAAATGTCAAGTCTGTTTAAACTACGCGAATTATGCTTAGCTTCTTGGACGAACTGGTAAGAGATTGAATCACATTCTCAGTTTGCAAATTGATTGCAAATCAGGAGTTAGTTAGCAAATTGCGAATTTGATTACCCAATCCAACATCATGTCCAATACAAAATTACAAAATTTCATGCCGGATCGGCCGTGGCCCGGATTAACAACGACCGCGCTTCCTGCTGCCGTGTCACAGGGCGGGAGTGATAAATCTGCTACTGAGGCACACAAAACAACGAAGAACGAACAAAAACAGGCCGCGTGTGACCGGCCTCAAGCAGTTGTCCCCTGGGCTCTGCGGTCACGCAACCAACTTCCACGGTGTGGGCAGCCGGGAAGTAACAATCGCCCTCACAATCCGAAATGCACACGAAACCTCTCTATTACTCACTCATCTTTGTCTTCATCTTCATCTCTATCATCTTGCCTTCCTTCCACTGATGCAACTCCTCGACTTGATAGCTCTCCACTTCCTCTCCACTCTGCGTCCACTAAAAACGATGGAAGCCAAAAAACCACCACCGACAGCCTCTTAAAGCCGCGCCACCAATTTCATATAGGAGCTCTTAATGTTAGGACACTTTGCCAAATAGGACAACAAGCATCACTAGCCAAGACCCTGGCATCACGAGCCATTGATGTATGCTGTGTTTCAGAAACACGCATACAAGACCCAAGTGTGGTTATTCACCTAACCCCACCTGGCCAACAGGTTGAATCTGCAAAATTCACCTTGAGGGTGTCAGGAGATGCCACAGCTAGTTCACGAGGATTAGCTGGCGTAGGGATAGCTTTGAGTACTAGGGCAGAAAAGACATTGCTTGACTGGATCCCGGTAGATAGCCGAATGTGTGCTGTCCGCCTGAACGGATCAGTAAGAAGGAGGAAGGACTGCACTACTCGCCGATGCCTTTTCGTAATCTCCGCCTACGCCCCCACTGACTGCAGTTCAGATGAAACGAAGGATGAGTTCTACCAAAAGCTGTCTAGTTTGGTGAGAAAGGCTAAACGCTCAGACATAGTCGTTCTAGCTGGTGACTTTAACGCTCAAGTAGGGAAATTGTGTCAATCTGAGAAGGATGTCGGTGGCACCTATGGAGTTCCGTGCCAGCGAACCGACAACGGTGACCGTCTCCTACAGTTCTGCTCTGATAATCATTTGTTTCTTGTAAGCACTAACTTCAAACACAAGGAGAGACACTGTTTGACTTGGAGACCCCCTTCATCAAACCAACGCTGGACACAAATAGACCACATAGCAATAAGCTATCGTTGGCGTGGGTCGGTAGGAGATTGTCGCTCCTTCTGGAACACGTGCGTAGATACCGACCATGCACTGGTCCGCGCTCGGGTGTGCTTACGACTGAACGGACGTAGGAAACAGCTGGCGGTAAAACCATCACGTCCCCAGCTCGATCAGGAAACTAAATCCGTATTTCAGGAAGAACTAGCTAAACACATATCTGTGTTCGACAGCTGTGCTCACCCTGAAGAAGCTTGGAAAAATATCCAGGCAGCCATAGATACAGCTGTAAAAGCTGTGAATAAGGTAAACCCAAAGGTGAGTAAAAACCACTGGATCTCCACCGCCTCATCCGAACTGATAGATGCTAGAAGACTTATTCCGGCGAGCTCCGAATTCAATGAGGAGCGAAAGCTGCACAAGAGGAAACTTACGAAAAGTCTCCGCAAGGACCGTGAACAGTGGTGGGCGACAAAAGCCAAAGAGATGGAGAAAGCTTTGAGGATAGGCAACACCAGGCAACTCTTTGGACTCATCAGGGAAACGGGTGGGAGAAGACAAATCATTAGTGAGACAATCTCGGAAAAAAATGGCACTATAATTAGCTCCCAGGATAGACGACTGGATCGTTGGAAAGAGCATTATGAGGAGCAGTTTAATTTGCCCACAGCCACGCTCAACCTTCCGAGCATCCAACACCTCCCTGAATGGGATATAGATACAGGTCCTCCGTCACTAACTGAGGTTACTAAAGCTGTCACCAATCTGAAACTAGGCAAAGCAGCGGGACCTGATGGAATGACGCCAGAGGTATTTAAGTACGGTGGAGACAGCTTACTGTCCGGATTAACTGAGGTACTAGGCAGCGTCTGGGAATCAGAAGAAGTCCCATCGGGTTGGTGTAAGTCACTGATTATCCCCATATACAAGAAGGGAGACAAGTCTTCCTGTGATAATCACAGAGGGATTAGCTTGACTAATATAGTATCTAAAGTCTTAGGCTCAATAATCATGCGTAGACTGAGTGGTGCTCGGGAAGCACAAACACGAGAGAGCCAGGCAGGCTTTAGACCAGGAAGAGGGTGTATTGATCATATCTTCACCCTCCGACAGATTCTAGAACATAGGCATTCCTACCGGCGTCCAACAGTCATTATATTTCTTGACCTAAAGGCAGCATTCGACTCTGTCGATCGGGAAGTTCTCTGGAGATGCTTGGCTGTAAAGGGAATTCCAAGAAAATATATTGCACTGATTAAGGCACTCTACTCGTACTCATACAGCCAGGTGAGGGCTTACGGCGAGCTGTCATCTGAACTGATGACGACCAGTGGTGTCCGTCAAGGATGCCCATTATCTCCTTTTCTATTCAACTTCATCATAGATGTGTTAATGGACTTAACCCTAGGTGACTTCAGCGATTCAGGGATTGACTTGCTACCTGGGAATAATCTCGTTGACTTGGAATATGCAGACGATATAGTCCTTCTAGGCGAAGACGCTGACGAAATGCAGAGTCTTCTAAACACCTTGAACAGCAATCTACGAATGTTTGGCATGCGATTCGCTCCCGCCAAATGCAAGATGATGTTACAGGACTGGACTACATCGACGCCTAGTTTAAAAATAGGAAGTGAAGTGGTAGAGCACGTTGACCGCTTCACTTATTTGGGAAGTACCATCAGCCCCAACGGGCTGATCTCTGACGAAATCTCAGCACGAATACAAGGGGCTCGTTTCGCATTTGTTAGTTTACGCCGACTCTGGCGTAGACGAGATGTTCGACTATCGACCAAAGGGCGGGTGTACTGCTCATCAGTCCGCTCCGTCCTCCTTTATGGTTGTGAGACCTGGCCACTGAGAGTGGAAGACATGAAAAGACTAGCTGTCTTTGATCATAGGTGCCTGCGTTCTATTTCCCGTGTAAAGTGGCATAATAAGGTGAGCAACATGGAGGTTAGGCGTAGAGTTCTAGGTAAACAGGGGAAATCAATCGACGAAGTCGTGAAGCTACATCGACTGAGATGGTTAGGACATGTGTTACGTATGCCAAGCCATCGCCTCCCTCGACGAGCTATGTTAGCGGATATAGGGTCAGGCTGGAAAAAAGCTAGCGGCGGTCAAACAAAAACTTGGCATCAGTCAATGAAATCCACAACAGTTGGTCTAAGCCACGTAGGAAGGTGTAGACTTCCAGGCTGGGGTCCTCGGGACGGTAAAAATCTATGGTTGGAAACAATTGGTGACATGGCTCAAAATCGTTCTCAGTGGCGCAGATGCATCCACTCCCTGTGACTTATGATCTTCAATGAAACTGTTTTGTATTTCTTTATTACTCCTTTGTCTCACACCTCTGCTCACTGTTTCTATTATGCTTTTCTTGTACTTTCTTCTCTTGCTTCGCGTGCTACACGGAATGTGGCGACTTGAACTTCCGCACATTTGTGCAAAGTTCTATGTCGAAAACAGACAGACAGACAGATATTTCCTTTTTAAAAAAAATATTGGACTAAGGAGGTAAATTATTCAACTGTAACAGTGTACATTCTTATCGTGATAACTAATGCTCAGTTATATCCCAAGTGAAATTATCAAGTATTAATGTCTGAGTGACCCTTCTACTCACTAATGAGAATGAATTGTTCGATAGGCTCTCAGGTGATGGAGTGAATTAGTATCAATTTGTTATCAAACTAAGGTTATCAGTTATTATGTTTTAATGTATTGTGATGGTAAATCTAACTGGCTGAGTGGTAAGGTGATGTTGGTATCGATGAGATGTCAGGCACATATTCAATCTCAACAACTCGGAACAGTCTATGACTCACGCTTATTGTACGACATCTGATGATACTACCCACTTACCCTGGATGAAGTAGGTGAGGCAGGTTCCGACTAAGTCTAATGCCTGTCTGTCTGTCTGGATTCAACATAGAACTTGGCACCGAAGTGCAGCAGTTCGAGTTGCCACGTTCCAAATAGCACACAGAGGTAGACAAGAAGATGAGTGAAGAGAATCAATAGAGTTTGACAAGTATAAGAGTGAAACAGAATGGGTAATGGTAGAAAGGAATATGAAAGATTACAGAGACTGAATACATCTGCGCTGGCCATTGACAACGATTTTGAGCCATGTCACCTATTGTCTCCAGCCATTGATTCCTAGAGTCCCGAGGGCCCCAACCCGGGAGTCTGCATCTCCCTACCTGACCGACTCAGTTTAACTGTCAAGGATTTCATGGATTGATGAGGCCATGTTTTTGTTTGGCCACCACTGGCTCTTTTCCAACCTGCACCTATATCAGCTAGCAATGCCCGTCGGGGGAGGCGATGGTTAGGCATGCGCAGCACGTGACCTAGCCATCTTAGTCTATGTAACTTTATAGCCTCGTCGATTGATTTTCCCTCTTTGCCCAACACTCTACGCCTAACGTCAACATTACTTACCTTATTAAACCACCTAACGTGAGACAGAGATCGCAGACATCTATGATCGAAAGCAGTCAACCTTTTCATGTCTTCAACTCGTATTGGCCATGTTTCAGAGCCATAGAGAAGGACGGAGCGAACTGCTGAGCAGTACACACGTCCCTTGGTTGATAACCGGATGTCACGCCTACGCCAGAGATGGTGTAAGTCAGCGAAAGCAGCTCGAGCTTTTCGGATCCGTGCTGAGATTTCATCGCCAATCAGTCCGTTGGTGCTAATACAACTTCCCAAATAGGTGAAGTGGTCAACATGTTCTATCACTTCACTCCCTATCACTAAGTTAGGAGTTGACGTGGTCCAGTCCTGTAGCAGCATCTTACATTTTGTAGGGGCGAATCGCATGCCAAACATACGAAGATTGCTGCTCAAGGTGTTCAGAAGACTCTGCATTTTGTCAGCATCCTCCCCTAACAGGACTATGTCATCTGCATATTCTAAGTCCATAAGACTATTCCCTGGTAACAAGTCGATTCCTAAGTCGTTACGTTCAGTTAAGGATACTTCCATCAGTATATCTATGATGAAGTTAAACAGAAATGGGGAAAGTGGACATCCCTGTCGGACACCACTGGTTGTTACCAATTCAGATGACAATTCCCCATAAGCCCTTACACGACTACGTGAGTTTGAATAGAGTGCCTTGATTAGTGCAATGTACTTTCTTGGCACTCCCTTCACAGTCAGACATTGCCATAGTACCTTTCGATCCACGGAGTCGAAGGCCGCCTTCAAGTCAAGAAATATGACAATTGTTGGACGCCGAAAAGTGTGTCTATGTTCTAGAATCTGTCGAAGAGTGAAGATATGATCTATGCACCCTCTACCTGGTCTAAAGCCTGCTTGATTTTCCCTTGTCTGTTCCTCCCGAGTTCTGCTTAGTCTATGCATGATTACTGAGCCTAGGATTTTAGAGACTATGTTCGTTAGGCTGATCCCCCTATGATTATCACACGAGGACTTGTTTCCCTTCTTGAATATCGGTATAATAAGTGACTTACCCCAGTCTGATGGCACTGTCTCTGATTCCCAGACTTTGCCTAGTACCTCAGTTAATCTACAAACTAGTATGTCACCCCCATATTTAAACACCTCCGGAATAATTCCGTCGGGTCCTGCCGCTTTGCCTCGTTTCAAATTACTGATAGCTTTTGTGACCTCACTACAGACGGCGGACCAGTGTCTATATCCCATTCGGGTGTGGTGGATGTCGGGGAGGTTCAGTGTGGCTGTAGGCAAGTTAAATTGTCCCTCAAAGTGTTCTTTCCAGCGTTCAAGGCGTCTATCCTGAGAGCTAATTAAGGAGCCATTTTTCTCAGAAATAGTCTCACTTATGATTTGCCTTCTCCCACCCGTTTCCCTGATGAGTCTAAAGAGTTGCCTAGTGTTGCCTATCGCCGATGCTTTTTCCATCTCTTTTGCCTTTGTCAGCCACCACTGTTCACGGTCCTTGCGGAGACTTTTAGTAAGTTTCCTTTTGTGCAGCTTTCGCTCCTCATTGAATTCGGAGCTCGCCGGAATAAGTCTTCTAGCATCTATCAGTTCGGATGAGGCAGTCGAAATCCAGTGGATTTTACTCACCTTTGGATTTGCCTTATTCACAGCTTTTACAGCTGTATCTATAGCTGACTGAATATTCTTCCAGGCTTCTCCAGGGTGAGCACAGCTGTCGAACTCAGATATGCGTTTAGCTAGTTCTTCCTCGAATAGGGATTTAGTTTCCTGATCTAGCTGGGGACTTGATGTGTCGTTTTTAGTGGACACAGAGTGAAGAGGGAGTGAGGAGCCATCAAGTAGAGGAGTTGCATCAGTGGGAGGAAGGCAAGATAATAGAGATGAAGATGAAGACAAAGATAAGTGAGGATTAGAGAGGTTTTGTGTGCATTTCGGATTGTGAGGGCGATTGTTACTTCCCGGCTGCCCACACCGTGGAAGTTGGTTGCGTGACCGCAGAGCCCAGGGGACAACTGCTTGAGGCCGGTCACACGCGGCCTGTTTTTGTTTGTTCTCTTTTGTTTGGTGTGTCTCAGTAGCATACTTATCACTCCTGCCCTGTGACACGGCAGCAGGAAGCGCGGTCGTTGTTAATCCGGGCCACGGCCGATCCGGCATGAAATTTTGTGAATTTGTTTGAATCATGGTATTGGATGGGGTAGCTGCTTTTTGTTTAACCGCTATCCAAACAACCTGCCTGGCATGGTAGAACCTCAAGAGACATAAGTCTCAGCCAGTATAGCTTGATTAGGTCATTGCGGTGTTCAAGCCCGACCACCACGTCAAGGTAGCAGCTTTCGGTCTAGTGCTTAAGTCAATGACCTACATCTCCACAATGTGTTATTACTCAGTTAGTAAGACTCTCAGTAAATAATTTGATAAGTTTCCTGTATTACCTCGCTGCTATTTTACAGTTGTCCACTTCGCGAAACGAAGTATTCATTGTTTCTTGTTTTATGCGTAACCATTTATTGTTCTTCGATTTTTAAAGAAAAAAAAGCATTAAATTGGCTTTTAAATCTTTTAGATGTCGGAAGATAGTAAAATGACAGATCCATCTGGATCAGTAAATATTCCGGACTTTCTAAAAAACTACGTGAATTCACTGGCTAGTAGAATAAGTCCTCGACATTTATTAGGTGTACAACATGCTTTTAAAAATATCATTGAACAGAGTCGTCACAGTCGTCATCCTATTTGTGCAGATATAAAGTCCAGTCAGTGTTCTGGGAATTCGCAGTCGGAAATAGAAATGAAAGGTGGACAATCAGGTTCCCAAAGTTAGTTTATGTTTTACGATATGCTTACTTTATTCAAATGTATACTTTGATTTTTATTTCCTAATAGAGAATGTAAGGACAATGAATTAGTTATTAAGAGACAGAGACTAACAGACAGATACTACTTTAAAGTGTAAGCAGTCTAGGACTAGTCTCAAACAATAATAATAATAATAGTGTTCAGAATTTCTATAAATCACAGTTGAGTGTTTTGTTCAGTTCATGTTGAGATAAAGTAGTAAACTTGGTCATTGTGGTAGTATCTAATACTATATTGGATATATCACACAACTGAACGATATTATTTACTGAGTGACGAAATTTGGAAGTTTGTTCATAACTGTATAACCCACCCTGTGGAGGGAGAGATTGATAACTGAAGCTTTATTTATCGAATCAGCTAGGAATATATAAAATAGGAACGATTCAACACCTGTCCCGGACATATGGGGAATTTTACTGCTCATACGACAAATAGGAAGGAAGAGACAGAAGTATAGAAATCAAGTTTTGAAGCTGCATAGTTACAATTGATATGATTGTGAACAATAAATTGTGTTTGAAACTTCACTCAGTGAATAATACTGTTTCACTGTGTGATATATATCCAATAAACTAATTTAAATGCTATTCTAGATAAATTATAAGTGTACCATCTACGAATTTATTTTATTTTGGGAATTACACAACCGAGATCGAAGCATACATCATAGGAGTAACAAAAAAGTTTACTCTGGTCAATTTCTCTATTTCTTGGCGAGTTATGGGTGATTATATATCCACAAACTGAACTTTGTTGACCCCACTGGCCATGACTTCTCACTCGGACTTCAAGCAAATTCATCCTGTATTCAGTCATTGGTGAACACCAGATTAATTGTCAAATGTTAGTTTGCAGGAATTTAACTGGTTTCAAGTTTGATCACAAACTGAGAACCATTATGGAACCATTCGAAACCATGGTATACTGGACATATGTTTGAACTCCTCAGTAGTTTTTTAGCGGGAACCAGTAATTTATTCGTTATTGTAAAATAACTGTATAAATGGTTTTGATTTCTAGCTAAATTGCTGCTTGCTTTTTGCGTGGAAAAATGAATCTTCAGCTTCCAGGTTAGCCTTTTGTGTCTTAGATTTTTAGAGAGATTTGTAGCTCATGTAGATGATATTGGTCCAGTTGTGTTCTTTAAGCTGGGTGGTTTAGTTACCAGACTTCCATTTTTCTTTTAGTCAACATCTTCAGTGCATATTTCAATTTGAATTAAAACTTTAGAACTCTCTACGGGTCTATCAAAGGTATCTCCTATTGACCTTACACGTGAGAGAAAATATCTAGAAACAATTAGTCACTCTTAAGGTTGCCAGGATAATTCTGCAGTCTTACTTCAAATTGAAGAATGTACTGAGGGTATTTTGTCTAGAAGGACAAGAAAGCTTTTCAACTAAACCAACCAGTTTAGAGAACACTACGACACTAATTAATACTTCTGTTTTCTCAGTACAGAAATTGTAGCTGAGCGATCTGTTGTATAGTGTAGTTGTGCAGAAGTAACGGTAATAACAATCCAAGGAATTCCAGTACCATCATCACCGTTTCAACAGAAACCGACTGCCATCGAAGTGGTTTCTTCCCTGAACCAATATCAGTTAGATAACCATTAAAACCGTAATACAGTGAATATTTATTTCCTAATAGTTGAAGAATTTTAGCCAAGTTGTATGGGGTATTGGTCGCGTTGTATTTCATATTCTTAACATGATCTTCTAGATATACTGATCAAGAGACTAGATAGTAATTCATTCGCTGAGCTATCTCAGATTACTTGATGCATTATATGCAGCAATCAATGTATTCATGAATACGTGCTATGACATGCTTAAAGGTGCAGTAAACATTGTTTTAATCCTTTTCTGTGAATTTATTATTCACTGATTTTTGTGTATATATGTGTGTGTATGAGTAAGTATCTGCAATAATTTGTAATCATTTTTATTAGCGTTGACAACTGGCATCACATTTCACTCAGGTTCTATTGTTGTTGTTCGTCGTGATCATAATTTCAATTGGCTAGGTGTTGATTGCTCATTTCTGTTGATAAAAATGTGTTAACACCATTCCATAGTTCTATCGATGTAGTGTTTCACATGAATTCTGAATAAACCATTAATTTCAATCTCATTATAATGTTTTGTTTATTATGATTTTTGAAACACAATTGACCTCTGCTCCATTGTCGTAGACACAGAGGTTTCGAACAGTCAGTCAGAGGTTCAGAAGTCGTTGCATTTACTGAAGTTTTCGGAATTAGACTGTATCACTATCACTCAGACACTGGCTGGGGTGGGAGGGGGTGTTGCCGGCTGGAAAGGCATGTGCATCGTTGTCAAGTTTGATCACGAAGTGACCTCAGTTACAGAACCACTGAAAATGACGAAGTACTCGACAGATAATTCATTCTTGCTTGGCTCCCATCAGCAATAAGCACCTGCAAGCTAAACAGGGATCAGACCATTCTTGACTCAGTGGTATGCAAGCTTGCTTTGTAACACGTGAGCCCTGGCTTCAATCTTGTGCGGTCACATATGCTTAGAACTGAAGGACCCTAAACAAGGATGAAACAACTGTCCAGCTCCCTCTGCTTTTGAATTGTTCTCTGACTAAAGTTCATCAGTTCATCATAAAACTTGAGGTCAGTCGAATCCCTGCACACCAACTCTTGAGAAATGTATGTTGTTGCTGAATTTCTGTTTTATTTTCGCCAGACAGTAAACCTTCTTGAAGTGGTAGTTCAGACCTTATTTGAATATACTGTAAAGTTTTTGTAGTGTTTAACTACTTTGTATTTAAAATAAGAGATTGTAGGATTCGCCAACTGACATATATATATATATCCATATAATGTGTGTTTGTTTGACAGTCTGTTCTTGGTGACATGTATCCATATAAATTGTTTGTTTGACAGTCTGATATATTTTGCTATGTATATATGGATAGGTATTCCATTATAATTAGCCAATCATGTTAAGACTGTTTATTGATTTGTTCATTTTGAATATTCGCTCTCACACTTGTGTTCACACACTTGTTCGAACATTCATATATATTTTTGCTCTCACACTCTTGTGGGACATTGATTCTCTTTGTGTTTGAAAAATAGAAGTATCATCGCAAACCTAGTGGTCTTCTGATTTCCGTCTTTCTTGAGTCAGGACTATTAAATTCTCGACCAGTACATAACAATAATTTGGCAACGAGTACATAACACCAACATTTCGCTTTTTGTTGACTTGCGTGCAATGTATATCGATGCCTAGTAATTTTGTTGAGAACAGTAGAGATATATTCATTGAGACGGAGTACACCCAAGGGTATGTGTCATTCGCCATTCAAAATCTTAAAAGGTTAAAAGCCAAGATCACAGATTTTCCTGATTAAGAATTGCGTACTATTACCAGAGTGATTTACGAATGCAGCAGTTTTTCAACTGGAAATGTAAGATTATGTTGGTGCTTTGATTAGGTAACAAAAGAAATGACGATATATAATCATCAGTTTGTGACATTTTCAACTTTTCTTGTTACCTTTGAAATAAAAGTGGAAGTAAAAAGATGAGATGGTGGTGCAAAATGATATAATTGAGGATACCTATGCTGTTAAAGAAGTTTGCAGGAGAATTAAACAGCTTTGCCGTCTTTAGGGAGAAACCAATTAGTTTAGACGCATCTTGTTTCGAGTCTGTAACTGGTGACTAGCCTACTACCTACTACCACTCTGAGAAGTTGTTAGAACAAAATAGTATCTGTTTTGGCCAGAATTTATAGTAATTCGGTATCTCACTGTTTTTAGGTGATCGTCGATGACGTTACTCGATATTTTGATAAATTTGAAATGATGTACTCGCGATATATATAATGTGTGTCTATATAAATATATATGATTATAATTGTCTCTTTTTTCTATGAACGTTATTCCTCAAAGGTTGTGTCGGTGGTATTTTGATTATTACTGGAAGTTACGGAAGTGGCAAAAGTACTCACTTAGCTGCATTAGCAATGTCGTTGGCAAAAAATCATCAACATTTTACAACTAGTGATTCCAAGGACTGTTCAACAAGCAGCAGTAAATCATCAAAATCTGTCTTGAACAGACACAGTTTAGAGAAATACGAAGTTTTAATTCATTTTTGCAACGGTTTACCATGCAAGAATGTGTTACCCTGTAGACAATTATCTAAAATACTTGATAATTGGATTGTATCTCTCATTAAGCAATTGCAGAGTTTTACCAGGTTTTCTGCCACTCACAAAACATACCTTTTCAAGGGTGATGCTCATTTCAGGCGTTATAATGGCTTGCATGATTATCGAAGCTTGAAGTAAGTGTATTTAACTGTCAGTATTTATATTCACGAATGATTTTACATTATTATTATTATTGAGTAGTCTTTAGGAAGAGATTGATTTGATGGAGCCAACATGAATACATATTTGTACCAAAAGATTCATTTAAAAGTTCGAAACGATGTGGAACATTATTATTGTTGGTTAGGATTCCGTGACAGTGTTCACTTATAATCCCATTTATGTTTCAGTGTGAGATCATTATGTTCATTATGCTTAGTAGTATTCAGATTCAGAGTTTTGCTAGTCATATAGCTGTCTATGATTAAGCAATATAGAGGTGTGCGTGACGCAAATGGACACAGTCATTCAGATGCGGTTACTTGATATCAAAAGGAAAAAACGTGACAATTACCTACACCATGGAACTAATGGGTTTGAAATTTGGAAATGTATAAATTGTTATTAAAAGAGAAACAACGTGGTTAAGCTTCTACTCGATAAGTGGGAAGATAGGAGTACAGTAGTGAAATGTACAATAGCGAGGTGTGAGAGTGATAGTTCATGAATAATCCCCGTGCAGGCATTAATGAAAACAAAACGTGTAGAGTCTCTTTTTGGCGAATTCATTTTCTTAGCTGTACAATCGCAAATGTATATGAGTTATTTTTGTATGCGTGTGTACATTAAGTTTGTCAAACAAAAATACAATTGGTTATGGTTATTTTAACTAAACATGTGAAAGTTTGTAAGTTTGGGGTAGAGTTACGTAATACAAAAACGGTCAATTAAATAGGGTGTTAATGAAACTAGGGTAGTAACAAAGGTGATGAGTTGTCGCAAGCAGTTGTTAAAAAAGAGTTGCGTAATAGTATGAATAGTTTGATGATTGAGTTCTACTCAAGGTATACAGAAACAAAGCAGAGAATACAAAATTACGTGAGAGTTCTAAATGAATACAAGAATTGTAGAACCTGGGGTTCTGGTGGGAAGCCGTGACCAGTAGTGTACAGCAGGTTGACGATGAGGCAGTAACTCATCGAAGAAGACATTGCGAAGTGGTCGCGCTATGTCGTGAATTGGCAGAAGTTAGAATTCAAGGACCATTGGATCGGGTCCCAGTGGCTCAATGGTCTACGAGCTCGCCTTGTAACCAGAAGGTGCTGGGTTCGAATTCCGGTGGGTGCCGAAGTGGCAACTCGAACTGCTGCACTTCGGTGCCAAGTTCTATGTTGAATCCGGTGGGTGCGTACTGCTGAAGAGTCCCAAACTAGGACGAAACAGCTGTCCAGTACTCCCAGGTTTTCCAGTGGTTCTCTAACTGATGTCAGCTCATGATTAAATCCTCCATGCAATCAAACAAAATCCCTACAAAACCAATACTTGAAAATTGTAGAACTCTCACGTAATATTCAAGTGTTGGTTTGTAGGGATTTGATTGCGATTGCACAGCTAAGGAAATGAATTCGCCGAAAAGAGTGATAATTGTTAATTACGTACTGAAAATATAAATAAACAAGTAGGAAAGAGTTTAAGACAATGGTAGAATAAGAGAACGAGCAGTTTTTCTTTCTGTGTTCGGAGTTTGTGGTTTTGTTGAAGAATCACTGGCGTTTCCGCTATACACAAGTGTCGAAACATAACACATGTTATACCATGCAGCCTTTACCTTGTAAATAACTTTAAAAAAGGACTCCGTTGGAGATGCGTGCTTTGAGTCCACTGAATTCTCGAAAGTTAAGCTAGTAGTTAACCTACAATACCCTGTCGATAACCACGGTGGGTAATATTCTTAGATGCATTTAGAAAGTGTATGTATGTGCCTCCTATACAACTAGCTCCATGGAACCAAATGAATTTGTAAACACACAATGAAGTAATAAAGTAAAGTAGTAAAAAGAAATATATTAAGATTTAATAGTGTGAAATATTCCCATATCATGAATTAAAACTCAATCTGAACGAAGTATATTCTTCTCAATAATTTCCTCCAGGTTCTTACAGTTATAAAATATAATACTTATGTCGTTACAATAATGGCCAGTTGTTCGGCGGATATAGAGATTCTTCAGTGCTTTAACATAACTTGTCAGTTCATTGTGCGGTGTGTACAACTAATCAGGCCTTTAAACAACAACCTTTCAAAAGAAATTCACTCATCCTATTGTTTCTCCACACTGGATTTTCATTTATCTGAGCTATTTTTGCCATATGGATTCATTGAGAAATACCTTTTTCTCCCTGGAGTTATAATCTTTTCAAAATTATTTGCTTGTCTACTTTTGGTAAAATATACCATATTTGGTATTATTCCTGCCCATTTTAGACTGAAAATATTCTATTTCAAACAAATAATCAGTTTCCTGGGTTGTATACGAAAAATGAATTATGTCTTCTTAGTTGACGATATTGAATATCTTGATCCATTCCTACTGGATTGGTTGCCGTCACGACTACCACAAGTAAGTTGACCATAATAAAGAAATTGACATATTAATGTTGATACCCTCTGACATAGTACTGTGCTGACTGACTGTTGTCGATTATCTGGGTGATGATTGAAGGTGAAATGGATATCTGAGTCACGGGAGGATTTTCCCCTTAAACTTATGAATTACTTCTTCTTCTTCTTCTTTCTTTACTTCGGCTATCTCCTACGGGAGGAACCGCTTAAACTCATTTTAAGAGGTTGAGATTTGGATGGAGGTGTCCCCACCCTTATGAATTACTATCTCATGCTGCATCAGTTAACCTATGAGACCCAACTTCTCCCCAGGTCATTGATTCACTGTAGTCACCATGCGTAATACCCAGCTTTGATGTGAATAAATAAAACACTGCTCTCCATTTATCATCACACTAGCTGCTCAAGTAGGTCTCCTCTTGTCAGTTTTCTAACTACCAGTCCTTTGAGTTCCGAGTGGAACATAAACACTTAGCAGCATATTTCCATTTCACTCTGTTCTCTGCAGTCATCTCTGGCTGGTTCCACCATTTGCATAAGCGTTCACTTCCTCTTCACAGGATCTCACTCACATCGGCGTCGGAACCTCATTCCGTAGTTTCCCATTAGGATCTACCTGAAGGTCTGGCACATGATTTCATGCCATGGTCTCCTCGACATGTGTGTCCAGATCATGTACGTTTCATTCCGCGGTTTCTTCCTCGATAGTTTCGTGGCTGTTTTGTTGCTAGACTTTCTTTTTGCCGATCTCTTCTTGCTGGCTGTCGAGGGAAGGTAGCTGTTGAAGGAAGTCTGCATCATTCCTAATCTAAGAGTAGAACCTGGGGCACTGTGGTAGAATTTGATTTCATTTTAGATAATTTTGTTTCAATTATCACAGTGATGCAATATCAATAAGTGGATGACGTTTTGAACATAAAATATTGCTCATAATCATATCAGTTTGGTCACGTGGCTTCATAATTTGTTCTGATAAGATAAAAGCTGATAGTAGATTAAAAACTGGAGGATGTCATTCCCAGTAGAGAAGCAGCGTCAAGTGAAACAGACAAAACCTCTGCTGAACAAATCTGAGCACAATGTGCAGTGACACTAAAACCCCAGAAGAAAGGAAGAAACAATTTATCACAAAAAGAAATAGCAGCACTAAAAATCTTGAGGAATGAAAAAAGCATGATAACTGCAAAATCTTACAAGGGTAACACAACAGTAGTCATGGTCAAAACCAGATTATGCTAACAAGGCTAATCAAAATATTGAAATGTGTGAGGAAGTTGAAACACTTGTGGACACTATTATGAATAAGATCAAAAATCTACTGGTGATCTAGTACGCTGTATGAAGCCGTCTTTGGGTGAGTCAGGATGGTTTAATCTAATGCCTAAGGTTAACAATCGTAACAGAACGTAGTGGACTCTCAGAATTCCATATGCATGATATCCTATTAGGCCAACAGCTGACTTTAGTAACACTGCGACTTATGAGTCATCTAAATACTTAGCACCAATATTATATTCCATTAAAAATCGGTGAAATTCTAGGCTAACTACCTTCTATGTAATGAAACAGAAGCCAGAGGAAATTCATTTAGAAAAAGATGAAAAATTATTAGTTCTGACATAACTAGCTTGTACATTATTATTCCGATTAATACAACTGTGGAGACAGTTAGGAACGCACTGGATATTGATCCTGAGCCCAAAAGTAGGACAAGCTCTTTGTTGATGAAATAATATTAAGTGTTCGGCGTTATCTAACCTCATATTTATTCTAATTTCAAAATAAAATATACAAACGAATTGGGTGGCAATGGGATCTCCAATATCCTCAATACTTGACTGGATCCCCATTAACAGTCGTTTATGTGCTATGAGGCTGGAAGGTTATACGAAAGTAAGGAGTGGCAGGTCAGATAGGCAGTGTCTGTTTGTTGTCTCTGCCTATGCACGGACGGATTGCAACCCGGTTGCAATTAAGGATGAATTCTACTGCCAACTGAGCTATCTGTTGAAACAGGCGCGTCGGAAGGATATCGTAGTGCTGGCTTGGGAATTGAATGCACAGGTCGGACGTCTAAGCTCAGAGGAGAGTCGTCTAGGTGGTCAGTGGGGCTTACATGGTCGCAGGTCACATAATGGGAACCGTCTTCTGCAGCTCTGCGCACATCACAACCTATTTCCAGTCAAAACCAATTTCCAACACCGCCATCTCTGTAGCGCTACCTGGTGTCTTCCCCCTGCGAATCAAGCTTGGACTCAGATTGATCATATTGATGTGAGTTTTCGGTGGCGAGGATGCTTACAAGGCTGCCGCTCTTCCTGGAGTGCATGCCTGGACTCCGATCCTGCGATAGTGTGTGCTGGGTTCATGTTGCGATTTGGTGGGGTTCATTAAAGACGTCGTCTAAACGTTGATGTGAGCAAACTAGTAGCACCTGCTACTTCTTTGAGTCATTTAGGGCGGTGCAAACTGCCTAGCTGGAATTCTCCATGTTCTGTGAACCAATGGTCGAATTCTTTTGGTGATCTGGCTCAAAGCTTTTCTCATTTGTATGCACATGCATTCACTCTTTGCAATCCTACAGATTCTTCAAATCAATAATTGTTGTGTATGTGTGTTAATGGCTACAAAAATCTATATTGAGTTTTACTATTGTTGGTAAAATACATTGTATTTCACTCATGTCCTATGATTGTTTTGCTCGTATATGTGTTCTTATTTTGTTGCATTTTTTAATTGCCGTCATCACATGAATGAATCAGTTCTGTTTTCTAAAACGTGAGAAAGTCATAGAGTTTCGGTTAGCTACATTTATCGAGTGATGGAAATTGAGGAGAGGAAGGCGTTATCAAAATATACTACTTATAAGTATTAAGTTATTACTAATGGTGTATTGTTAACAGATTTTCGTTCCGGGTGTTTTTCTGATAAATCAAATTTTGAATTGGGTTTGTAGCCACACTTCATTGGAGCTTGTCTCACAAAATGAAATTGAGTAGTCTTCTATGTCATTTATGGAAATCTGTAAATGTTGAGTAGTAGTATACTCTTAAATGTGTGTGTGTGTGTTAATGTTAGTCACTTTATCCTAATTTCAAGTGAGTTATTGAATCTTTGCCTTCGAGGTGTTTTAACAGGATATTTAGTATTTGTTTTCGATACATCCATTCTTCGTAGTGTTTGAAATAAAAAAAGAAATTTTGTACATTAGGATGAGAGTGAAAATTGTTCGACGTACTCTTAGAGTTGATACCTGATTGCGGACTTTTCATCATCAGTATTGTTGACACCTTCTGCACTAGCTTCATTAGAAAGTTACAAAATCGTTGAGAACACCAAAACAATTTCCATTAATCGTATTATTCCCAACATTTTTCGCATTGTTAATCATATATTTATGCTATGTTTTAGTACAAAGCTGTTATATACAATGCTTCAGATAGTAGTAAGACATGAAGTGGGAGTTGCAAAACCATGTATTTATGTACTCCGTTGTCATTTAGTCCATATCAGATTCCTTATGGTGTGAACATTTTGCCTTATTGTATGACTATTGAGTTATAATGATGTTTCTTTTCTCTTTCAGAACATTCACTTTATTTTCACTTGTGATTCAAACTGTAAAATTATTGAAAACCTAGCTACTGGATACAACTGTCAGTTGTTTCGTATTAAAGAATTGACATCAGAAGAACGTCGTGTTGTTTCACTCACTTATTTACGTTCCAATGGATTGTGTTTAATTGACTCCCAACTACTAAATCAGGTTAGTTAAGCAAACCATCAGTTGATTACAAGTGTTATATTTTATTGAGATTATTTCATGAAATATTTTTGACTGAAATAAATCTTATTCTGCTTTTAGATCGCCGTTTCGATTGCAACTCATGAAACACAAAGTCCGATGTATTTAGACTTGGTTTGCAGATATATACGATTGCGTAAAACACACAAAGAGGTTTGTTAAAGTTTTTAGCCTTATTATTTCTTCTGATCATTTCACTTTGTAATCTCTCTTTATGTCCTTATTTAAGACTGTTTCATATTGTCATTTGTCACGCTATTGTTTTTCGCTAGTAACTTACACCAACAGTGAAGTTTTCCTGTACTTTCATCCCCACACTATCCTTGCGCCAAGTTTCTATAAATAACATTTTTCAAACAAAAGTATGGTGTTGATGTAGTACAGTCCTTTTAGATAATCTTCGTGATTCAGACTTCTGTAGGACTGAGGGAGAGCTAAGATCTACCTTTTCTTTGAAATCTCATATCAGTTCACACCAACATCAAGGACTAGACTTATGACTTTGGCTATTGCCTAGTGGTGGTGACCTGCTTGAACCACTAGACTAACTAAATTCTCCATCCATCAAGTCTCATCATCTTTACTCCATTTTAAATTCTTCTAATCTTCTTATTACCATAATAAGTCTCAATCTATACTAGTGTACAATTTCATACAACTTTTTACCTAACTCTAGGAATTTTTCGAAGAAAACTGAGGAGGAACATTGTGAAGTAGGATTGAAGAAGACTTAGGGAGGAACAAAATTGCTTCATATGATGTGTTATCAGTTATTATATTCTTTGAAAATTCTACACAAGGGGTCAATATCTTCCAATGGAACTCACCGAAAATTATGTATTATCGATGAACCTATTGTAAAAAATTATATTTGTAAAATCTCAGCGATATTGAAATGAGTAATTCCAACGTTTCGTTCGGCAATCTGGTCCGAACTTCTTCAGGGAAATTAATCGAAATTAACATAACAGGTTTATATATAAAAGGAACATCTTTAGTTTTTAAAAAACTTTGTCCAATCATGATTTATAAAACAAATATTAACAAGTATAATAAACAAAATTGTATGAGTTGTGATCAAAATTTGACCGCAGACTTACAAATATTGATCTACCTTTGTTAAACACTTTAAACACAGTGTGTATGTGTGTGTGTGTGTGCGGATAAACAGTTGTAAAACAATGTCTTAACGTCTCCATAAGTAGATATAGACAGTCGGGAAACTTTGACCAAGTATTATTAGTTAGTGATACATATCCATTCTTATTTATTAATTAATCAGGATTTCCTATGCGTCATCCAACATCACACCTTCATGTCTGTTCAAACTGTTAGTATCTAGAATTTTATGATTAGACGTATTTTCGAAATTATGGTGTTTAGGATTAGAGTTTAGTTGAAGCACCCTGTCAAACTCATGACTTTGTCTTCTTTCTGAAAATTGAGCTGCTTTATTCGACCTACTGAAGTTGTCAGGTGACTGGACAGCTACGAATTTAGGGTACGCATTTTGCTGCAGACTGTCTATATCTACTTATGGAGACGTTAAGATATTGTTTTACAACTGTTTATCCGCACACACACACATACACACTGTGTTTAAAGTGTTTAACAAAGGTAGATCAATATTTGTAAGTCTGAGGTCAAATTTTGATCACAACTCGTACAATTTTGTTTATTATACTTGTTAATATTTGTTTTATAAATCATGATTGGACAAAGTTTTTTAAAAACTAAAGATGTTCCTTTTATATATAAACCTGTTATGTTAATTTCGATTAATTTCCCTGAAGAAGTTCGGACTAGATTGCCGAACGAAACGTTGGAATTACTCATTTCAATATCGCTGAGATTTTACAAATATAATTTTTTACAAATGTCTACTTCTCACTCGGCGCCCAAATATTATAGAACTATTCTGTCAAATCTTGACTACAGTTCATTTGATCGATGAACCTACTTTTTCAAAATGGAGATATTATTAATATTATCAATCATAGCATCTATTACCACTATGCAGGAGGTAAAATGTGAGCCCGAGAACCTCGGTGGCAAAGCTCCTGACTTCAGAACTAGGTGATAGTGGTTCGAATCTCAGAGGGGACGTGTGTTCTTTGAATGTCGCAAATCCTCCTTTCTGATAAGCACTAGCAAGACAGAAACTTGAGTTCAGGGCTTCCAATCACCTAACATCAATTCAGAATGCACCGCTATGACAAGCTACCTAGCTTGGTAACTACATTGCAAACCTGACTGGTAACATTCTGTCTGCACCAATACCAAGGACTATGTTCATGATATTGGTGACCACTCATTGTAGAAGTAGGAAGTATTAAAGCAAAGTGTTATAAAATTACCTCATAGATTTGTTCATCCTTAGTTGTAAATGGATTATCGCACATTGTTTACGAAGGTTGTTTTTGAAAATAGAAAAACCGAATTTTTACAATTGAAGTGCAGTGTAGGGTTACAAACATAGTGATCAGTGTAATTGTAAGTTACGTCTGTTTATTCTGCAGGTATCAGTTATATTGAGTAGTATATCCGAATGCTAACTTCAATAGCTTCGTTTCTTCAAGTTAGATCACGAATTGGTATCAATTAAAGAACCACCGAAAATCGGGGATACCGAATGGCTGCATCGTCTTAAGCTGAGACTCTTCGGCAATACGCACTCACGACCCCACCAAGCATGGAACCCAGAACTGTCAGATTACCAGGCGAGCTCCTTGACCGTTTAGCCACTTGGATGGAACCTAAAGGCCCATGAGTTCTAACTTCTATCAATTCGTGATATGTAGCATGACCGCCAACCAATGTCATTGGCGAGTATTTTTCCTCACATGCAACTTGATGAACTCCACGTATTCTCACTAGAAATCCAGGCACCTTCATCCTGTTGGCAATCAGTGATGAGCATTAAATTAGTATACAAGTGTTGCTTTGAAATGACTTGATTAGTTTCCAGTCAAGCCACAGGCTGGTATCAACTAGAAACCATTCCATCTTACTTTAATCTCTCCAGCCTTAATTTTCTTTGCTGTGTGATACGGTTATACAGATATTATCAGAAATACATGCATTTGAGTATACTAAATTAGTATAAATTGAGAACTGCAAACGAAAATATGCTCAATATGCACTCCACTTGTTGAACAGCTATCATCGATTTCTTTGTGTCATCAATTTTTTTGCATATTCATCAAGGTTACATGGTTTGTGCGTTGGTTATTGTCTGTTCGTACTTGACGACGTAGCTGAAAAATTCCAGTATGTTGTCATTTTGTACTAGTGACCTAATTGATATATAGGCTAGTTTTACTACTTACGTAAGTAATAGTGCTACGTAGGGCATTGTTATTATATATATATATATATGATTCTTGCTTATTTAATTCCCTTCAGTACTATAATCCTCGTTTCTTCTGCTCCAGTTGCACTGGTCACTTGTAAATTTTCAGAACTTTTCCAGAAAACATAGCATTACATACTTTCCTTTCTTTATTTTACTTTCCGAATGGAGCATAGTGAGTCGAGCTTAAAGGTTTGAAGTTTCACGAGCTGTGGTTTTTTTATGTGGTGGGTTTGGTTGCCTCACTTCTAGCCTTCCTTCTTTTCCCTGATTGACTATTGGCTAGTAAACTAGTCAGGGATTAGGAGTGCACCGGTGTGCAATCTACATTTGAATCCCTGATGCCTTTGTTTTATACAATACTTATGTCTAATTTTATAAGTGGTACATATATTGAAGTGTATTATTGAGCCAACTTTTTGACTAGGGGATGCTGGTGGACAATTAAAGTTGATGCAGAATACTAGCTATCATTAATAACTTGTTGTGATAAATAAATGAGTTATTTTTTGCTGAAATTTTTTGAGTGGAGTTTTAAGTTTAGTAAATAGACTGTCTTTCCGTTCTTGTACTTCCAGATTTAATTTTTGTAGATAAGAATAAACATGAATAAAATTTACTTCGATATTTTTGCAGTTATGTGTCTCCACTTATTTTAAACTGATAATATTTTGACCCAGTTCTCTTCTGCACCCAGTCGTCCGAATAATGGACTCTCTTACATCATTATTCCAAAAGAGGTTGCTAGATGTTTTTACGTCCATCCGGTGACATCACCGTGTAAGCAGTTCTGAGGTCCAGTGTGTGTAGATATTTTTCATATTTCACTAAGTATTGCTACGAGGGATGCCGGCTGCAGTGGCTTCAACATGTACTACAAATCTCATCCCAGAGGCTGTCATACTTTTTACCGTTCAACCAACCCTGAGACTAATTTCATTGAAAAAGTGGAGAGCTGGACAGCTCATGACGTGGCGCTCCGTGATTAATAATAATAATTGTGGTAGATTAACATATATTGATGAGTCACGACTCCCTGGGTAGCATCCTACTTATAGATAATCCGAACCAGTGGCTTCAGACGTTATCAGATGTAACTGAAGATCATGATCAGTGGTGAACATCCTGCAATTTCTTTCTTTCCTCTGGGTTTGAAAGTAATATGAAGTAATGAACACTACTTTAAAGGCTGTTGGTAAGTGTGCTTTCTTATTTTTATGATCTTGGTCCTCTATCCATCCTATATCATCTCATATCTGATATCTCTGGTCGGCCTGCAAAACTTGGGCTACCGATATCCATGCTGAAAATTCAATACTTGTAAAAAAAATACAGTGTGGAATCAAGCTGTAATCAAAAATAAATAAATATATTGTCGTTGCCATATCATCCATAGTCTCTAGTCATTGATTCTTGGAATCCCAAAAACCTTAACCAGGTCTCGTCTACACCTTTCAACGTACCTCGTTGACACCAATGGTCAAAGACTTCATGAACACATGTCAGGTTTGACCATCCATAACTCGTTTTCAACTTAATCCCATATCAGCAAACATTGCTCGTCGAGGAAGGCGGTCGTTCACCATGCGTACTGCTTTTCCTAGCTATCTCAATTGATTTATCTTCATAGCCGCATTGATATTCTTACTCTCCTTACCTAACACTGTACGCCTAGTCTAAATGTTGCTCACCACATTACACCACTTAGCACGATGGTTAGAATGCAAACATATGTGATCAAACACGGTTAGTCTCTTCACGTCTTCCACTTTCCATGGCCATGTCTTATAATCATAAAAGAGGACAGAGCAAACTTTCGTGCAGGGCACACGTCCTTCAATCGGTAACCAAATACCACCTCTACACCAGAGACGACATAAGTTGATGAATGCCCTATGAGCCTTTTTCATCTGTGCTGGGATTTTGTCAGCGATCCGTGGATTAAGGCTGATGCGGTTTCCCAAATGAATGAAGTGGTCAACACACTCTACCATTTCACTCCCTATCTTCAAGCTAGGGGTCAGTGCAGTACAGCATTCTATTATCATCTTACGTTTAAGAGGAGCAAATTGCATGCTTAACATTCGGAGATTTTTTCTGAAGCTGTTTAGAAGACTCTGCATTTCTTAAGTTTCTTCACCCAAGCTGACATATACTCTCTCATATGTTAATATATATCAAATGGAATTTTAAATTACATTGAATTTGCATTCACTGTTTGATCCTTTTAAAGTGATTTCATCTTTTCTCTTCTCATTATTTCAGGTTCAAGCCTATCTTAATGCTTTACCAACCACAGAGTATCAGTATGTGGAACAAATTATAAAAAGTGCTGAATTAGAGTGCGGACGTGATTTGACGCTAGCAGCGATTTGTCTACTGTATTTCTGTCGACAACCATTATCAACAAATGATCTTTTTCTTTTGTTGAATAAATGGTTATTCATATCTGAGGGTATGACAGAATATGAAACAACGTGGGAAAATGATGCCATATCAATGCTTTCAGTATTAAAAGATAAACCAACTAATTTAAACGATACTATTATACATGAAAATAATATCAAGAAGTTTCTGATAAATCCGGATACGAGCATGGCGTTGGGAGTGAACAATCCAAAACGCTTTCGTTTGTCTCCACTTACATTTCATATTCTTATTGATGAACTTCGACCATTACTTTCTATCTCATATAGTGACACAGAAGAGGATAGTCTGTATTCATCTTCTTTTGAATTATCACAGAAGACAGAATTAACTACTAAGATTTCCGTGTGGAATTTATGTTCAGAAAATTTATGTTTTATGAGTCAGTCTGTTAAGCAAAAGGCTTTGGATATTTCGCTGAAAATATTAACCAGTTCTCTGGATACATCCAGCTTTGATTGGTTGCGAAGTCCTGTGGAAGTGGCTGGTGATAGTAATTTAAAAGACGCTTTTGTTATGACTATTCACAAGACATTAGCTAATAGTCTACCTGATTTGGATGATAAGTTGTATCATTTAGTAAGTTTTCTATGCTTTACTTTTTTATAATTTCAAATCAGTTTAAGTATATCTTTAGACTTTCTGAGGTATACTGCTTTGTGATTGTTAGATGCCTCAATATGATTTTCACTTCATCATAATCGTGATGTTACTTGATTGGTGGTCTGTCTGTCTGTCTGGATTCAACATAGAACTTGGCACCGAAGTGCAGCAGTTCGAGTTGCCACGTTCCAAATAGCACACAGAGGTAGACAAGAAGATGAGTGAAGAGAATCAATAGAGTTTGACAAGTATAAGAGTGAAACAGAATGGGTAATGGTAGAAAGGAATATGAAAGATTACAGAGACTGAATACATCTGCCGGCCATTGACAACGATTTTGAGCCATGTCACCTATTGTCTCCAGCCATTGATTCCTAGAGTCCCGAGGGCCCCAACCCGGGAGTCTGCATCTCCCTACCTGACTCAGTTTAACTGTCAAGGATTTCATGGATTGATGCCATGTTTTTGTTTGGCCACCACTGGCTCTTTTCCAACCTGCACCTATATCAGCTAGCAATGCCCGTCGGGGGAGGCGGTGGTTAGGCATGCGCAGCACGTGACCTAGCCATCTTAGTCTATGTAACTTTATAGCCTCGTCGATTGATTTTCCCTCTTTGCCCAACACTCTACGCCTAACGTCAACATTACTTACCTTATTAAACCACCTAACGTGAGACAGAGATCGCAGACATCTATGATCGAAAGCAGTCAACCTTTTCATGTCTTCAACGCGTATTGGCCATGTTTCAGAGCCATAGAGAAGGACGGAGCGAACTGATGAGCAGTACACACGTCCCTTGGTTGATAACCGGATGTCACGCCTACGCCAGAGATGGTGTAAGTCAGCGAAAGCAGCTCGAGCTTTTCGGATCCGTGCTGAGATTTCATCGCCAATCAGTCCGTTGGTGCTAATACAACTTCCCAAATAGGTGAAGTGGTCAACATGTTCTATCACTTCACTCCCTATCACTAAGTTAGGAGTTGACGTGGTCCAGTCCTGTAGCAGCATCTTACATTTTGTAGGGGCGAATCGCATGCCAAACATACGAAGATTGCTGCTCAAGGTGTTCAGAAGACTCTGCATTTTGTCAGCATCCTCCCCTAACAGGACTATGTCATCTGCATATTCTAAGTCCATAAGACTATTCCCTGGTAACAAGTCGATTCCTAAGTCATTACGTTCAGTTAAGGATACTTCCATCAGCATATCTATGATGAAGTTAAACAGAAATGGGGAAAGTGGACATCCCTGTCGGACACCACTGGTTGTTACCAATTCAGATGACAATTCCCCATAAGCCCTTACACGACTACGTGAGTTTGAATAGAGTGCCTTGATTAGTGCAATGTACTTTCTTGGCACTCCCTTCACAGTCAGACATTGCCATAGTACCTTTCGATCCACGGAGTCGAAGGCCGCCTTCAAGTCAAGAAATATGACAATTGTTGGACGCCGAAAAGTGTGTCTATGTTCTAGAATCTGTCGAAGAGTGAAGATATGATCTATGCACCCTCTACCTGGTCTAAAGCCTGCTTGATTTTCCCTTGTCTGTTCCTCCCGAGTTCTGCTTAGTCTATGCATGATTACTGAGCCTAGGATTTTAGAGACTATGTTCGTTAGGCTGATCCCCCTATGATTATCACACGAGGACTTGTTTCCCTTCTTGAATATCGGTATAATAAGTGACTTACCCCAGTCTGATGGCACTGTCTCTGATTCCCAGACTTTGCCTAGTACCTCAGTTAATCTACAAACTAGTATGTCACCCCCATATTTAAACACCTCCGGAATAATTCCGTCGGGTCCTGCCGCTTTGCCTCGTTTCAAATTACTGATAGCTTTTGTGACCTCACTACAGACGGCGGACCAGTGTCTATATCCCATTCGGGTGTGGTGGATGGCGGGGAGGTTCAGTGTGGCTGTAGGCAAGTTAAATTGTCCTCAAAGTGTTCTTTCCAGCGTTCAAGGCGTCTATCCTGAGAGCTAATTAAGGAGCCATTTTTCTCAGAAATAGTCTCACTTATGAATTGCCTTCTCCCACCCGTTTCTGATGAGTCTAAAGAGTTGCCTAGTGTTGCCTATCGCCGATGCTTTTTCCATCTCTTTCGCCTTTGTCACCCACCACTGTTCACGGTCCTTGCGGAGACTTTTAGTAAGTTTCCTTTTGTGCAGCTTTCGCTCCTCATTGAATTCGGAGCTCGCCGGAATAAGTCTTCTAGCATCTATCAGTTCGGATGAGGCAGTCGAAATCCAGTGGTTTTTACTCACCTTTGGATTTGCCTTATTCACAGCTTTTACAGCTGTATCTATAGCTGACTGAATATTCTTCCAGGCTTCTCCAGGGTGAGCACAGCTGTCGAATTCAGATATGCGTTTAGCTAGTTCTTCCTCAAATAGGGATTTAGTTTCCTGATCGAGCTGGGGACGTGATGGTTTTACCGCCAGCTGTTTCCTACGTCCGTTCAGTCGTAAGCACACACGAGCCCGGACCAGTGCGTGATCGGTATCTACACACGTGTTCCAGAAGGAGCGACAATCTCCTACCGACCCACGCCAACGATAGCTTATTGCTATGTGGTCTATTTGTGTCCAGCGTTGGTTTGATGATGGGGGTCGCCAGGTTAAACAGTGTCTCTCCTTGTGTTTAAAGTTAGTGCTTACAAGAAACAAATGATTATCTGAACAGAACTGTAGGAGACGGTCACCGTTGTCGGTTCGCTGGCACGGAACTCCATAGGTGCCACCGACATCCTTCTCAGATTGACACAATTTCCCTACTTGAGCATTAAAGTCACCAGCTAGAACGACTATATCTGAGCGTTTAGCCTTTCTCACCAAACTAGACAGCTTTTGGTAGAACTCATCCTTCGTTTCATCCGAACTGCAGTCAGTGGGGGCGTAGGCGGAGATTACGAAAAGGCATCGGCGAGTAGTGCAGTCCTTTCTCCTTCTTACTGATCCGTTCAGACGGACAGCACACATTCGGCTATCTACTGGGATCCAGTCAAGCAATGTCTTTTCTGCCCTAGTACTCAAGCTATCCCTACGCCAGCTAATCCTCGTGAACTAGCTGTGGCATCTCCTGACACCCTCAAGGTGAATTTTGAAGATTCATCCTGTTGGCCAGGTGGGGTTAGGTGAATAACCACACTTGGGTCTTGTATGCGTGTTTCTGAAACACAACATACATCAATGGCTCGGATGCCAGGGTCTTAGCTAGTGATGCTTGTTGTCCTATTTGGCAAAGTGTCCTAACATTAAATGCTCCTATATGAAATTGGTGGCGTGGCTTTAGGAGACTATCGTGGTGGTTTTTTGGCTTCGTCGTTTTTAGTGGACACAGAGTGAAGAGGGAGTGAGGAGCCATCAAGTAGAGGAGTTGCATCAGTGGAAGGAAGGCAAGTAATAGAGATGAAGATGAAGACAAAGATAAGTGAGGATTAGAGAGGTTTTGTGTGCATTTCGGATTGTGAGGGCGATTGTTACTTCCCGGCTGCCCACACCGTGGAAGTTGGTTGCGTGACCGCAGAGCCCAGGGGACAACTGCTTGAGGCCGGTCACACGCGGCCTGTTTTTGTTTGTTCTCTTTTGTTTGGTGTGCCTCAGTAGCATACTTATCACTCCTGCCCTGTGACACGGCAGCAGGAAGCGCGGTCGTTGTTAATCCGGGCCACGGCCGATCCGGCATGAAATTTTGTGAATTTGTTTGATCATGGTATTGGATGGGTAGCTGCTTTTTGTTTAACCGCTATCCAAACAACCTGCCTGGCATGGTAGAACCTCAAGAGACATAAGTCTCAGCCAGTATAGCTTGATTAGGTCATTGCGGTGTTCAAGCCCGACCACCACGTCAAGGTAGCAGCTTTCGGTCGGTTAGTCCGAGAATCCAGGATGCTTATTTTATCCTGTTTGGTGGCACTGGTCACACGGATGTACGTACATCCCAGTTGAAGTATAGGTCAATGTGAGAAAGGGGAAGTAGACGCTCAATAAGCGCAAACGCAGCAGTGACCTTGGAACACTCATTTAGAGCATGGCGGTAAAACCAGGTGAATAATGCTATATTAACTTTATTTAAGGTGTAATGATATCTGGTTATTTTTAGGTTATGTCAGGGGTAGAATAATACTAGGCTTCGAAAGGAGACAGGTGTTAAGGTTAGGTTGACCTAATTAGAGTTGATTAGGCATAGATTAGGGGTAGATTGAGGAAAGATTAGGGTTAGGAGACCAGATTTAATTTTTAGGTCAACTGTTTTACCAAGGTCGTCTGTGCGTTCTCACCTCTTGTGAGCCTTGTCAAGAAAAATGATGGCCTTGTTTCTATGCTGGGTTTCGCTTCAATGTTTTAGACCGAAGAATCACAGATATCTAAACACTCGTTGGTTAAAATGAAATTTCAATCCGAACTTGTAAATCAACCATAGGAGGCTTATCGTCAGTTTACACACTTTGCATCAGATTCAATTGCGAGGTTCAGATGAAGATAGTTTATTCACTTACTTTGGCACATTTCCACGAATCATATAATGTCCAGTATGGGGGGCGAATTTCAAGTTTGACTTTTTTACAATCTGATATTAATCAGCTTACCATTAGAAACCATGCAGTTCTAGATTGCACAACCTTGTGCACCTTGTGGCTTATCAAAACTCAGAATGTGACGCTACGAAGTGTGTATATTATCATTCATCCACTGGGTTAAAACCCAATGAGCTGTAAACCTTAACTCCTTCGGCATAAATGATAGTAACTCAATAACTAGAAAGTTTCATCTTCAGAGTATGCAGACCAACCGTAATATCTACCGGGGATAAAAAATAACTTCAATTCTATTAGACCACCAGTTTCGTAAAAAAAGGGTGGAATTATATGCGATCATTTTCAACACAGGATGATTACAGGATAAAACTGTACTAAAAAGAGTTGGTAAGAGTTTATGAATGTGTATTTCATTTCTTAATCTAGCTTTGATCATCCTGTATTGTGAATCATCTCTGTATATGGGATTTATGTGTATTCCTAAAGGAATAAGTTTTTTTCATATTCACCCAGTAATGAGTAATGTGTCGCCTTTGTCCGCAATGATACGGGACTATATAACTACATATTTAAACAATTCATTGAGCTGTATAAAGGAATATAGATCGACTTCGTTATTCATCAATTCTTAGATTTCAATATTAGGAATTCTGTGTACTGTTTTTTGGAAGGTTATTCTTTGGGTCGCATCGGTGGTACAGCGGTTAGGACGCTCGCCGACCATGCACATGGTCCGGGGTTTGATCCCCGGCCGACGCACTCCCTTACCTCGCTAAGCCAAAAATAATGCTGGTAAAGAAGAAAGGTTGGGCATGAGGCTAGCAACCCCATCCTGTAAAATTACACACTGCTACAGAAACTTCAAGCCACTAGCTTGAAGCCTTATGTTCCACTGAGAACGTGAAGGAAAATATATATATATATTCTTTGGTTTGAAAAAGGCTCATCAACTAAATGTGGTTTTTCTTTGCTATGGCCATGCTGAAATTTCTAGTGTGTTGTGTTAGGGATGGTCACTGGTAGTCATTATTATATGAAGGTATTTAGAATTTGCAGTTGTTTAACTTTTATTTGACCGAAATATTCAGTCTGTATTAACGTGTTGGAGTTTAAGATGATAGGTGATGGGTTCGAGTTTAGGTGGGAACATCATCATTCACTGAGGACACAGGTGTATGCAGCTTATGAGACCCTAATGTAACTAAACACTAGTCCTGGATTTAACTGCTGGCAACCATCAACCAAATAACATGATAACTGTTAGTTGTTATTTTTGAAAAAGAAAATACGTATTACATTCAACTCTGGTATATTATGATTATTTTTTTCACCTTTTTTTCAAGCTTCATGCTGGTGAACTACACGTTATTTGCCATCTGCTCACTAGTCCTTCGTTTATTTCTAAGATGTTAATTGAACATCCTTCAACACTGATGAATTTTCTTGATGGATACCGTAAGTGCAGGATTATTTTTGCTTGTTGCAACTGTCATGTTGTGCCACTGTATTTTTTTCAGAGACTTGGTGTGTCATCAAAAGCATTTCTAACACACTGCAGACTTTCATCAACACTTGCCAGGAAAGATAACCAGCAAGGAGCTGCGGTAATGAACCTATCAATCATTCATTGTTCAGCACTTTTGTATTAGAAAATGGAAATGGATTAATTGCACACGTGAAGAGATTGTTTAGTGACACCAGGCCCTCGAATGGGGAGCGACAAGTTGGAGACGATTATATGAGTAGAAAATAAATACTTAATGCAGTTTAGCAACTTGTTTGAAGTGTCGATTGGCAACCTTTTTTCTACTACCAGGAACTCAAGGAATGAATAACAGTAATAATACAAATCCATTGTATTTGTAGAGTTAATATTGCTAATTTATATGCTACATAAATGATATTTCTTTTTTCCAGCTACAAATGATTTATTTATTCAACGAAAATGGAAAATTGCACTAGACATGTGCTTTTTTAATGATAAGATAAAAGAAATCCACAGATTTATTCAAAGAAACTATGAGTTTTTATTGAAGTAAGTTTTTGATAGTAATCTCTATAGTGTTTATTTTTTAAATAGTGCGGTGCATAAGTGGTTCACTAATAGAATCCTTGTCAGTTACGCGGGAAGTCTGGGTTCGATTTCCGGCTGATTCATTCCCAAACGTCGCCTAGTTTACTAGTTTCTGTGAGACTAGCAACGTCGCCCCTTTACTGAAGCTTGAAGTCCTATGTTTTACTAGGAACTCAAAGTAATGGAAAGAAAATTTTACTGCCTGGCTTCTAATTTTTCCGGGGTATATCTATAAACTAGAGAAATAGTGGGGTTGAGTTAGAAATTCCAACTCTTTAGGCGTTAGGTATACAGTTGTTTTTTTCACTCCTTCACGTTCCCCAGTGGAACATAGGGCTTCAAGCTAGTGACTTGAAGTTTCTGTAGCAGTGTTTATTTTACAGGATGAGGTTGCTAGCCTCATGCCCAACCTTTCTTCTTTACCAGCATTATTTTTGGCTTAGCGAGGTAAGGGAGTGCGTCGGCCGGGGATCAAACCCCGGACCATGTGTCTGGTCGACGAGCGTCCTAACCGCCATACCACCGACGCAAAACGTTAATATTACATTGCTGATATTTCATGCATTTATTCCCCTTGATAAATTTGAATAAAGCGAGAACAACATTGATTTGTGCAGAATAACATGGTACCATCATTTATTTCGTTGGCTTCTCGTCAGCTGCTTACAGCCTAAATAAATTTTCAGGTTTTAGTACAGAAACGTTTTAACATACTTGCAAATTTTACGTGTCAGTTGACAGTGTTTACTAACTGTGAAACTTTCTGTCAACTGACAACATGTAAAATTTGCAAGTATGTTAAAACGTTTCTGTACTAAAACCTGAAAATTTATTTAGGCTGTAAGCAGCTGACGAGAAGCCAACGAAATAAATGATGGTACCATGTTATTCTGCACAAATCAATGTTGTTCTTGCTTTATTCAAATTCCTGATATTATTTCAAAGATAGTATTCAACAGGTTGAAATTGGTGTTGTTTGTAGCGAACGATTTCTGTGCTGTGATGGCACAAAAATACAAATGCGTTTAGAAATTACTTGTCATAACTCTGGAACTTGGTGCGTCGATGGCACAGCGGTAGAATGCCTAACAACCACGCATGCGTCTGTAGTACGATCCCCGACCGAGGCACTCATTAACCTCGCTAATCCAGTAATGAGACTGGTAAAGAGGGAAGGTCGAGCATGAGGCTAGCAACCCCATCCCATAAAAATAAGTACCACTGCGACAGAAACTTCAAGCCACTAGCTTGAAACTCTATGTCCCACTGGGAACGTAAAGGAATAAAAATACTCTGAAACTTGGTGATCTTATTTTAGAACTGGATAACATTATCAGCCTTGGAACAGCAAACTTAACTTGTAAACTGTTAAATTGTATAATTCCTTTTGGATAACTGATGGGCAAATAAACTACTAAACTTGAAACTGTAGTCTTGTGAGGTGTATAATAAATAGGCAGTTGAATAAGTGCTTTTGTAGATTATTTTTATTTTCACTGATTTTGTTTTTTTCTTTTTTGGTGACATTTTCTCTTGATAGACGTCCAACTTTATTTGCTGAATTATCTATCAGTCAAAATTGTAGTGATTGGATTCGTACTTTAGGATTAACTCTTCTACAGCTAAGTGATCCTGATGCACAACATCTGACGGAGAGTAATCAAATTAGTATGTTTTATCGTATCAACTCATCAACTTCTACATTAATTCATCCTGTCCCGCCAAATATGATTTACAACCCAGTTGTTTCTTCAAATGGTTTCATAGATGTGCCTACAAGTGCTGAAATAAATTTATCTGTGAATTTATTGGTTTATGGAACTAGATGCGGTACAATCGGTTTTATTAACATTTCTAATATGCGAGTAAGTTATTTATTACTTGAGATAATTATATAAAAGTCGTTATCATCTACTTTTGAGCAAAAGTATTTTATTCGCTATCCTACTTATTCTGACAAAGTCACAAATGTCTTTTCAAATAGGCTTCAGACTTTTATTAACAGCTGCTTTTGCTTCATACTGAAGATTAGATATCCAGAAACTATTAGCAACAATGAACTCTGGCAGCAAACCAACTCAGAACTTGTTGCCTAAAAAATATGCTGGAGAAAATGGAGAGATGGATTGGATATACATTCTGCAGGGACTGTTAAGTGGTCACACACCACGTAGCCTCTCTAATAGAACTCAAATGGGAAACAATTAGTTTGATGATAGTGTAAGGGTGACATGGAGAAGATCATGTCGGGTGGAGATGAAACCTTATGTGTGATAATAGAGCCAACTTAAAAGGAATACATAGATTTGGAGTGAAATGGTGATATGCTGCTTAAACTTTATGTTCCATTCTGAACTAAAGGGAACAGCAATAACTTCCGTGATTATTTGTACGCTTTTCCTTCAAATTTATTTTGCATAATAATTCCCTTTTCTCTCTCTCTTTCTTCAGGATATACTTTCGTTTACTGGGCATACTTCAAGTGTTCAGAGCTTATGTCTCTTACAACCACTTTCTCCTGGACAAGCGAAAAATGCACAGTCATCACAACAAGTTTGGTTACTGACTACATCGGAAAATGGTGATGCTTTCATCTGGGATGTGACTGACCTTATTCATTCTCCTGAATCTAAAGTATGCAAACCAATCATTTCACAGATAGCCTCTTTATGTGGATACCATTATCTCTGTGTAACAACATCTGCTTGGCATTCAAAACGTCAAATCATTGCTACTGGTGGTTTAGATTGTACAGTTTATCTTTGGGATATTTCCAAACTTGGCTTTAGATCTGAAATTTCATCTACACGAAGTGGAAAGTGTAATAAACTTCATCCCTTTAAATCGTTGCATACAACAACATATCCAATTAGTTCAATGTCTTTCCGATTGCCTGATATTTCAAACAAGTATCAGGGAGATGTCAATCGTCTTCAGGATGTTTTGGCCGTTGGATGTTGGGATGGAATGGTTTATTTTTATAGTTTAGAATCCTTATCTATTGTAAGGGTAAGTTTACAACTTTATTCTGTTCTAAAAACCGTGTCTATTGATGAATGTGTTTGTTGTTGTTGTTGTTTTTATCCCGGTCTCCACTTTCTTTTATTTCCTATCATCTCTCACCTGTAGTCACTGTCTGTATCATCGTCGTCGATTTGTTCACTTGCTTATTCACCGGATGGTGGAAATATCTTAGCTACTATGGATAGAAAAGGTGAACTTATGCTTTGGAATGATGATATACTTTGGTATCAAACTGGTTTAATACAAGAATTTCCAGATGAAATCGATATGTTTTCTGATACAGATGAATCGAAAGCTTTGATTCCAAACCAGTCTGGGAGAATATGTTTTTCAAAGCCAACTGGTCAGTATATTTTTCAAACTGGTGGTGGTCAATTCTTAGATAATTATATCAATATCTGGGATACTAAACTTTGGGCAGCATTTGGTAAAGTTTTTTTTTGTTTTTACATGTTGATCTTTGAATGTATGTGTGAATATGTCCAGTTTGTTACGATGATTGAACGTACGACGTATTTTATATGGTATTTATTGATCTTTGAATTATTTCAAACTGTCAGTACCTTTAATGTAAGCTTGTGACCGAGTTTTACATTAATGTATGTTTATTTTATTGGTGGTGTCTACTAGTGGAATTCAAAATTTGCATTTAGACCCACTTGGGACTCATGAGCTAGATGTGCGTACATCTCCAGTGAGCTGTAGTTTTCCCACTCGAATATAAATCAGTTGATAGGAAATGTAAAATAACTTAAACGAACAATTAATGTGTGGTAATCTCAGACTCAATCGTCACTACAACTAAGATTGATTGTACCGACTGCATATGTCCACAGTCACTATACCTTCTGTGATCGATGTTATTGTAACATAAATGAAGTGTGAAGTAATCCGATTAAGTTTGATCAAGGATTCCTCACAGATGATTCATTAAAAACTAGAACAATCGTCGTTATTCATCCACAGTATTCCAACAGTAGACAGTATCTTAATGACCACTCGAATAATATTCTCGCATTGAGAAGCCACGAAAGGCAAACTGATAATGCAAGAAAAAGGGAAATGACCAGAACTTTAATGTATAAAAACTGTATTATGACTAGTTTAACAAAGTTACAACAGGAAATCGATCACACGAGTTCTGATCTAGGTTCGGTGTATGTCTTGTCTGCACTGACTCATATAAATATAGTCTCTCTATCCTGATACACAGTAACTGACTGATCGGTTTCAACATGAGACTGTGTACAGAAGTTCAAATTGCCTCACTCTATGTAGAACACAAACGAAGACAAAAAATAAGAAGAGATTCGAAAAACAATAATAAACGGAAATGTGAGATCATAAAGAGTAAATGCACCATTGAGAAAGATTTCGAGCCATATCACCAACCACCTCTAGCCATTGGCTCTTAAGATCCTGAGGACCCTAAGCGGGCAGAATACACCTTCTTACATGTCTCAAACAGTGTAAAATATAAATACGCATTGCATTTATTGTGATAGAACTGGGCTGTACACTTAAATATTTAGTTGTTTAATGCCACTTTATAGACACTGGAGTTCTTGAATATGGTCTTGTGAAAGAAGTTCTAGGGTATGAACAGTGAAATGGTATAGGGTTCACATTCACTCTTCAAATTGTTACCTTTATCATCGAGAAATATGACTTGCTTTCAGGCATGGCTCGTAGTCTAGTACACAAGCTTGTTGAATTGTATTCCACTATAAGTTACAAAGTATTCACCGTATATTAAGTTTATTCATAAAAATTAGGGACTTGGTAACGGGGGTGAAATTGTAAGCATGGTTTCCCCACAGGTATGTTTTATCTTGTAGTGCCTCTGTTCATTCTTATAGTGATTTGTTTATATAAACAGATTAAGAGATACATTTTCAGATGTATAACGAAGTTACATACTTTCGAATGTTTGTTGGTTTCAAATTCAAACGCGGATTGGTTTGGAACTAGGACAAAACAGTTGTTCGGTAGTACTCTAGGGTTTTCAGTGATTCTCCAATCGATATCAGTCCTTGATCAAACTTGAAGTTACACGCTTTATTATTACATACTCTACTTATACTTCTCTTCGCTGTTTCACTTTTCATGTGCCAATTTTTTCCTTAGGTCCATGGATTCATGTTAATCCATCTGTTGTTAGTAGTAATAATAATGCACAAAATTCAGTATACGTAACATGTTTAACAATAATGTCATCGAATTTTCACATTGCTCTGGGTTGGAGTGATGGTAATTTGACTATTGTTGGCATATACGATGGTAGGATAGTTAACCATCTAAATTTATCTGAAGGAGAATATCATTCTTCTGTACAGTGTATTGCAACTGTCAATATAAGTCTTAAATCAAAATACCGTGGTTGCCTTCTTATTGTTGGATATTCGTCTGGTGCTGTGAAGGTAAGCCAAATGTATTGTAGAAGGAATACATCTTTATCTTGTCTAAATTAATGACAAATGTCCTCCATATACTAATCTGATTCTGTCTCGTAAATTAGAACTCATGAACAACGATGTTTCTACAGATTAACTTTGTATGGTAGAATTGTTATGACTATGAACGACCAGTCATATTACTTGGTATCTGACGTAATAAATACGCCGAACAAAATGGAAATGAATAGGAAGCAGGCTGAGTAGACCATCGAGTGTCTTCGTGCGCCTCGTTCCCTCGAGTGGGGAAAGATAAGTTTGCGTCCGGTGACATAGAGGAGATCGTGTGAGGAAAGGACCGAAGCTTACGGGCAATCGCCAGTGGAGTTGTACGCTTTAATTTACATATGTTTTCCCCCTTATTCAACTACCAACAGTATGGAAAATGTCCTCTACTTTCCATTCTTCACTTGAAATACTACTGGAACAAGTATATTTCGTCCAATAAAGCCTCAAAAGACAATCTTCTTCAGTAGTAAAATATTACTTCCAATAGTCCTAAGATTTCATCTATTTGTAAAGTGTAATTTCACATGATGTACTTTTCTGTAATCCCTGTCTGTGTGTAATTCTAATTTATTATTATTATTCCTTTACGTCCCGAGTGGAGCCCTGGGCTAGAGCAAAAATACATAAACCAGGACTTCCTCTTCGTCCAGTCCTGGATATGTCAAACTCCACCTACCATGGAGTGGCAAAGTGGCTAGGTGAACTCCTCCAACCATTACACAAGATGGTAGTAAATCATAGTGTTAAAGATGTTTTTGAATTTATTGCTAACGTGGATGATATTAATGTAAATGGAAAGCAAATGCTTTCCCTCGATGTAGCATCACTGTTTACCAATGTACCACTTATGGAGACTGTGGAATTCATATGCCAACAGATACTAGAAAAACAGATCGACATCGGAATACCGGTTAGTAGTCTGAAAGAGTTGCTTTTAAGATGTACTATGAATGTACATTTCATATTTAACAACCTTTACTACAGGCAAATCGACGGTATTGCCATGGGTTCTCCGTTGGGGCCAATTTTAGCAGATTTATTTCTTGCCAAGATTGAAAATGGTCCATTGAAAGAAGTAATAGAAAAAGCTGATTCTTATTTTCGTTATGTTGATGATACCTATATTATTCTTGATGTGAAAGCTGACAAGAATGAAATGTTAAAAAAGTTTAACGATGCACATCCATCGCTTATCTTCACTTGTGAAGAAGAATATGATGGTGGACTACATTTTCTTGACGTCCAATTGAGCAGAAGAGAGGATGGTTCACTAAAGAGAGATGTCTATAGAAAACCTACATCTGTAGGACAATATACACATTTCCTCAGTTATGTACCAATCCGTTACAAAATCAATTTGGTCAGATGCCTGACGAATAGAGCAAGACGCATCTGTACAGATGACTCTCTAGAGAATGAGCTAGGATACATCCAAAATACGTTAATCCAAATGGGTTATCCTAGTAGATTTGTCAGGAGACACATGAATGCTAAGTACAATAAAGAGAAACCGATAACAGTTAAAAAGAAACAACTGTTCATCAAACTGCAATTTAATGGAGACGTGGCTAGTGAAGTCTTACATCAGAGATTATCGAGAGCGATAAAACGGACTTATACTGCCGCCACCCTCTGTTTGTCATTTTCCAGCCGGCCAATTTTGATTGCTCAAGTGAAAGATAAGTTACCTAGTTGTGCCACTTCCATGTGTATCTATAAATTTAGTTGCTCCTGTGGAGAAAGCTATATAGGCCGAACAACTAGACAGCTTAACAAACGCATTTTATCTCCTATATGGCAAACTCTTATGAAGCAAGACAAATGAAAAAACAACAAACACTCTATAAGCCTCCATGACCTTTACAACATGTAGTGACACGTTTATCACATATGAATTCACGTATTTTCCATATGACAAATAACATACATACACACACACATACATACAAATCTAATCTTTACAAATCAACTATAGAAGAGTAAACACAACAACAATTTGACATTAGTCATTACAAATATATGGGAGGACAGCTTACATATTTCTATTGGTAAAAATGTCCATAGACAAATGACCTTCAAATAAACTGACTTCATTTTATGTAAAAAATTTTTGACTATATATTTTGATGATTTATTATAATCCGAATAAATCTGCTGAAGAAGCTGTGGTTTACACGGCGAAACGTTCAGAAAAATCTTGTTTTGATTTTCTTAACACGCTGGGATTAATTTAAATAATTTATAATGAATCAATCTGACACGGCGCAAAAATTATTCCAGGAAATTCGTAACACCTACGGTCTGGAAACCTACAATCTTCTTCAGTTGTAAAATATTACTTCCAATAGTCCTAAGATTTCATCTGTATGTAAAGTGTAATTTCACATGATGTACTTTTCTGTAATCCCTGTCTGTGTGTAATTCTAATTTATTATTATTATTCCTTTACGTCCCGAGTGGAGCCCTGGGCTAGAGCAACACATCTCCATTTCACCCTGTTCTCTGCAGCCATCTTTAGCTGATTCGACTATTGCCCATATGCCTTTATTTTGCTCCCACACAATCTCCTCGGCGTCATCCTTGGACGCTCAGTAATTCCGACCAGGTGAATTTTATCTGTGTGCATGTGGAGATTCTCAGGAGTTCAAGTGTTCTAGATTCTGGTCACAGCTCAAAATCTCCAAATTGCTTCGCCCACTGGAGACAATAAACTTAAAAGTTTGAGTAACTTGAAAATTCCCATTCAGTCATAGAAAAGAAAAGGTGTTCAGCAAAGAGTTACTCTTTTCGGCGATATCATTCTCAAGCTGTACAAATCGCAAATTTATAGTAATTTGTCTTGGCAACAATAGGAATATTTCCAAAGATGTGTTAATGGAATTGTTAATTTTTCGACAAACAAATTACGTAATTTAGAAGGCGTTAATCGGTTAAGAACTAAAATAAAGTTACAAAAGTAGGTTGGGTGACGTAATCTGAATTGATACGGTTCAATGAAAAAATGAATGAGAGTCAAGTTAATAATCTGAGTAGAATTCACTTGAAAATGAATGAGAGTTAAGTTAATAAGCTGAGTAGAATTCACTTAAAAATAAAGAAAAATCGAGTTAGCAACAGTCGTCATGAGCGTAGAGATTTAATAGAGGGTGGGGGTAGAAAATAATGCAATAGACAAAAGTTTGAAGCAAGCTGTTCATATTTCAAGTCTATTAAAAAATTTTATTTTAGTTACTGAAAGACATATATATATATATATATATATATATATTCATTATCAGTACTGCCGTTATTTGATGCATTTACTTCTACTTTCTAGATGTATGTTTGCACATTTGAACCGAAAATCAATCCTGATAGTGATCATTACGTATATTTGTCACCATCTTTAATATCAGAAATACGTTTCACACTCATTGACACTTTATGGTCACATTCTCCTGATCATAATGTACATACTAGTGGTGAATTAAATAGTGGTACTTTATGCGTATCTGGTCTTTACTGTGTTGCTGCTTCTGGTGGTAGTAATTGTGAGGTTTGGTTTCATTTTATCGGTCGTCGAACTGGAAGTAAAATTATGAAATCTATTTGTTTAAAAGATCACAATGCTCCAGTAACTATGATTAGTTTTGAAAGTAAGCATTTTGCAACAGCCTCTAAAAATAGGGTAAGTTATAATTTATATTGTTATTATTATTAGAAATAGTTATAAACTCACGGTTTTAACACTTTTAATTCTGGGTTAGACTTTTGTCATTCCCTCACGTTCTAAGCGACGTGTAGGGCTTGAAACTTGAATCTCCAGTGGTACTCCTTGTTTTACGGAATGCGGTCACTAGCCTCAGCTTGAAACTTACTGTTTTCCAGGCTTACTACCAAATAGTAAGCTACATTGCATATATTCACGCTTTTCTGATTAGTATCGACAAGCGAAACAACAGTCCATGTCTTTCCTATTCCATTAATACAAACATTTATGATTAACTGACTTATTCGAGTAGCAGAAACAGGAGTATTAACCTTGCGTGACTGTAGAGCCCATAAGGCAGTCACACACACAGCCTGTTTGAAGTATCTTTTAGAGTCGCATCTGTACTGAGATCTTACCGCCGGCTTTCAATATACAGTTTTCGGGATCAGTCTTTCCTGAGCCTTCTCTCCCGAGCCCAGACACAATACACCTGGCATATTGGTTATCTAAAGGAAATACCTTACAGCTGTTACATACCTGTTCACCAGCAGTACAACTTTACCTACAGACTCTCAACATGATGTAAACAACTGGCACTATTATTGTAACTGCTTTTAGTCTAATCTCTATCCAAACGACCTTTCTGACATGGTAAGACTCGCACCAACAAAATTCGGATTTTCAATACAAACGTAAAGTCAGTTCTTCTATACGGATCAGAAACTTGGCGGGTCACAAAGAATATTTCCAAAAGGTTGCAGACCTTTATTAACAACTGTCTTCGCTCTATACTGAAGATGAGATGGCCGGAAAGAATCACCAACAAGGAATTATGGGAACAAACAAAGCAAGAACCAATCGCCCAACAAATATGCAGGAGAAAGTGGAGATGGATCGGACACTCGCCGAGGAGACCGCTGGGTGACATCGCGCGTCAAGCCCTCGAGTGGAACCCGAAAGGGAAGCGGCGTGTGGGACGTCCAAGTGTGACATGGTGGAGATCGTGTGAAGAGGAGTTGAAAGAATATGGACTGACATGGATGCAGGCGAAAAGTACAGCAGAAGCAAATAGAGACGTGCAGTTGAAGCCCTATGTTCCACTAGGAACCCAAGGGAGTAATAATAAAATAAAATATCATCAACATATCCGATGAACTGATTTCAGTAAATATATTTGAGAATACATGAATATATTCGTTACTTACTGGTTATCATGTCATATATATTTAAATCCTTTTATTTTGTTCTTTAGCAAGTTGCAGTCTATCATTATGATCAAAGAGAACGGACTGTAGCCTTGATGCATTTCATAAATAATGCTGTAGAAACAACGATAACCTCTTTACATCTAATGCATATATTTTGTGGTATTAAAACAGTCAGTTTATCGGTGTATATCGGTAGCAGTGATAACTCGTTGACCAATTGTGCAATAAAGAATGATGGTTATCAGATTATACAAACACTTCGTGCAAATAGATCTCCGATAGTGCGTATAGAATTTTCAGTAAGTTTGATTATAATGCATTAGAAATTTTAGTTTTATACGTATTACATGAGTTACAGATTATACAACTACATTTGATGATTACGTGTTACTTATGAAAACATTTGTCATTTCCATCGATGATAGATGTTCTAACCGACTTGTTATGGTTAAATGCTTGTTGCATACACATATGAAAGGTTTACTTCAGTACGTTAAAAAGAATCCATATACATATTTCACTCAATCGAAGCCTGCAATAAAAGACATTTAAGTCCTGAAATTCATCCAATAGCTGTACCATACTGTATACTTAACAGTTACTTTCAGTTGTATGCAGCTAGTGATAAAACGAAGTAGACTTAGGTGTTTTAACACACTTGAAGTGAGCGCTGAGTACGACTGTTCTCCTCCTCAATACGTGAATCTCTGAGTAATGGAAATATTACAAAACAAAGACTGTTCTTTGACTTTAAAAACGACTTTATAAGAAGGAAGTACATCATGTACATAAACATTTTTCATACAGATTTCGTTATAGCAGTCAGTCCATTACAACTGATGTAACTTCTCAAATAAATGAACTGGTTAACAAACTGAGGCTAACAGTTGGCTTCCATTTATTCAGCTTTCTTGTCTTTACCTAACGATGAGATTTCCCATCACAGCATTCAAAAACGCATCAGTAATGAAGTGCTTGTTGCGTCATGATATTTGGTTTATTGGGTACGCATCATAGCATAGTTTCATTGTAACGATTCAAAATCTAAATTCCTATGCGTTGCATTCTAAAATGACTTCACACTAAACCTTCTAATACTAGTAATTGTCTTTACACATATTTGCCACCTTTTTCTATACGCAGTCAAATCATATGTTCGTTGTTTCACCTGATGGTGAAATAAGTGCTTGGAAATTTGATAAATATGGTGTTTTACAATTCTCACATCGTTTTAATGTTTGTAACGATCTGCAATCCATGAATAATGATCATCCTGGGAAACTAGTTCAATTACTTTGTGTTGAGCGTTTCTGTGATTCTGATCCACGTTGGGATGGTAAGAAGAATTTTATGTAGCCGTTTTAACCATTCTAATTTCATTATATATATATATATATATATATATATATATATATATATATATATATATATAATCCTTTATCACCAGTTTACGGTTTAAAACTGAAGAAACATGGTTGGATATCCAATTAGACTTAAGTTTGACCTTATTGATTGACCATTTTTAGTTTTCAACTGTTAGTTCGCAGAAATTTGAGTAATTTCAGGTTGGATCACAAACATATATCGTTTAAAGGACCATTGAAAACTAGGGAGTACTAGACATTTGTTTCGTCCTGATTTGGGACTCCTCGGCAGTGTCCAATCCATCACTGCACTTTACCACTAAGATACTGGATTGGAATCCGATTGCCCCCATAAATCCTTACCCTAGAGAGTTAGTGGATAAAATGAACAAGTTTTTTGCAAACAGTTTTGAAGTTGGTCCTTCTCTTGCGTGATTAACCAGTGTAGTGCCCAAAAGACTGGCAAGGATGATGATAATACAATGCGACGTCTTAAATGAATACCTCAGTACCTTTAGCTTCACTGAGCTGAGAAATACCGAAAGACATACTAGCCTATGACTACAATGACCACTTTATGTGACAAAAAATGCATTAATGTATAAACCTTTTTCATAAAAGTGGAACTGAATTATGTTTCAATGGTAAAACACTTCATTCTGATCGGTTGTACGGAACACTAGATATTCTTATCATTTTTTTCATTCCTGTGCGTTCCTAGTGGAATATATAACTTCAGAGTTGCTAGTCTCACTCGCAAGCCTCTCTCTTTTCGCGCGGACGAGAGTTGGGATTTTGTCACCTGGGAATCGAACTCTGGACTACGTGAGTGGTTGGTGTGTATCCTCCCACTGAACCACTGACGCATCCTGATCATAGAGAGCGACATTAATCTAATAGAAAATATAGTTTGCTACTCTCGCTAATTTCTATAATAATACCTACTTCATAATTATAGGAACCTGTTGAAAGGTTATCAACGAAGAAAAATATACACTAATGTCTTGAAGTAAAGAAATTTCTTTTGTTAAAATATCTCAAAGTTAAGAAAATGGTGTACGTTTTAGAGTTTAATTTCTTCCTTCTTCTGAGTATTTACAACACAAGTGACTACTCTACATCAACTTTTTTTAGCGTCTACTAAACTGTATCCTCAGTCATCTGATTTGATTGATGAATTAGAATCAACAGATGAAGATGGAGATAAAAATTTGTTGGATCCAGATGCTGAGGTTACTACACCAAGTGAAGCTGACGCGACACCAAGTACTTATGAAGATTCTCAGGATGAGTTTTTTGAATGTGGATACACTGTAACTACTAATGCTGTTGGGGAGATTGGTGAAACTCAAATGCCTGATAATAATTCCTGCGATAAATCTTTTCATCTTCTCAATTCATCTAGGAAAGGCGATTTAGTTTACCGTGATAGTTGCATTGATTCAACTGTCCGATTTCTATGTGGCCTAATGGTATCATATGAAAACTCATCGTCGATAAGTCACAAGTCATTCAAAACTTTTACTATAGAACATATGCACCGTTTATTCCACAGTATCGTGGTACGCTAAGTGGACATTCAGGGCTGACTCCATGTGCATTGACTTCTGACTGTTCAACGGGTAATGACGATGACTGTGTTATTGTGACTGCTGCTGGTCAAACAGTCAATGATTCGGGAAGTGATATTCGACTTTGGAGTATGCCTTTGAAAACCCAAGCATTAAGCCGTAAGTATTTATTATACTGCCTTATAGATTAGTTAATTTACCAACTGTTCTTCGATTTCCAACGATATGTGACTGATTCATATGTCGTAATTTTTTAAGATTTTAATATCTTCGTACTAAATAAATTCAGATGTGTGCTGGGATAAAGTAGTAAGCTCACAACTTCCCTAAATATTTTGAATTTGTGGTGATGATGAGGAATTAATTTGTCTCGCTTCATCTTATCCTTGACTAAGAGCTGATACCTTGATGCAGTGGTCGGGGTTCCATATCACAATAACCCAATCACCTGGAACGAATGTGCTTGTAGGTCATACCATGTCGGAAAGGTCGTTTGGGCAGTGAGTAGACTAAAGCAATTACCATAATAGTGAAAGTCGCTCACAGTATATTGGGAGTTTGAAACAGTCATACTGCTGGGGAAGAGAGACATAACAGCAGTAAGGTGTTTCCCTTGGACAAGCAACAAGCTAGCTCCTGTTGTGATAAAGATCGACCCCAAAGAATTTACATCTTGACATACCCTGTCCTGGTTCATAGTCGGTGGTAAAAGCCTCATACCGACACTACACCAAAAGCCTCTTCAAGCAAGTCATGTGTGACCGACCTGAAGGCCATGTCTCCTTGGCTATGCACCTACATGACATATCTTCTTATGTGACTTGCTTCTTCGAAATAACATGAAAAACAATGTGGCAGTGTGTAACTGCTTATCAATCCTTTTATTAGATATATTACACAGTGATCTTTGAAGCTCGGCTTTTGTATTTCTGATTCTTTTCTGTATTTTGTCTCATCGTGTTGAATCACGAAGAAAAAGGTTCACTAAAACTTAGAACTATAAAAGTCAGCTTCCTCATAGTTGATCGGTCAGTGTAACTTTAATCATAAATAATAAATTGACTCCTCCCATAGCCTCATCTAGTAAATAATTTTGTTTTACTGAGTGTGATATCGAATTAGTAAACTAGTGTATGATTAGTACACGTTGCCGTGTACTTTTATCTACGAAAAAACAATAATTCTGATGTCAAATTGCAACTGATTAGCGTACGTAACAGAATTTAAGCAGTCCGCATAAAGTTTAGTTCACGCCCCTCTCTCTCTCTCTCTCCCTCTCAAATACACCTTTCAAGCACTTAATCTCTTTTTACCGAGAAATTAAATGCAAAATAACGCTACTTTTCATTTTATTATCAAGCATGTTATTTTATTTGTCTTTTTGACAGATTTCTGTACTGTTAGTTTACAACATTCATGTTTCACATCGATTAGACATCAGACGAAATTCTCTGTTATTTTTTATGTCACGTTATAAATTGATTGGGTGAAAATTGCAGATTGCACAGCAGTTCATTTAGTGTTAGCATGCGATTTCCCACTTCATATATATATATATATATATATATATATATATATATATATATATATATATATATAGTTGAGAGAAACTGGACAGATATTTGTTGATACACATCCTTAGCACGCAAAGTAACTGGTGAATAAAGAAGCTTTTAGATAATCCTTTGAAACTATACTTAATTAAATAGCTTTAGTACATAAACCAGTGTACCGCTATTCACTGCTTACTTGGATTTCATGTAGTGACTGAAGCAGGATATATTCGTAAGGAAGTTCAAAATAACGAAACGGCATATAATTTGTCAAAGTCAACAACTGATACTTTAGACCTTATGGTATGCGAAATACAGGGCTACTCTAACTAGAAGGTAAGGAATTATTGACTACGGTCAGGAGTTGATAGAACTCACAATCAGTAATAACGTTGCATATGTACTCAGCCTTCATTTCTGTTTTTACATTTAGCCACTAATAATACCATTCTCGTTGTTGGTCTTTTATCAGTGAACATACGATGCTGTAGCCAACTTTTTATTAATCAGTCTCGAATTCGAATACCAAGCTTCACTCATCCACGTAGTGATATAAACTCACAAAATAGTCATTGTTTTGACAGTCTTACTGCTTACTGTGCAAGGTTGTATATCATCTTACATATGACGTCTTTTTTTATCCCACTTGTGTTTCTTTGTCTGTGTTGTTGTAGTGCTGTGACAAAAATGTAAACATTTTGTTTAAACCTTTTAAATGTTTCTGACTACTTTGATCGATCTACCGCACCTAGATGGTTTTAAGTGTTGATTAGGACAGAATGCTAATCAGTGCTTCCCAGTCTTGAATAGTTATCTTCAGCATACTGGTAGATGATCAAAAGTGTTATGAAAGTGATCACTTTTATGTAAAACTAGTCAGTTAGCAAAATCGTTGTGACATGCTCGCACAATCATGGTGGCTAAATTTAGAATCATGTGCCCCTATCTACGACTTGCAAATATTCATTCAAATGTAGGTGAATAAAGCATCATCATTAATAGTGGTTATATCATCTTTTAGCAAGCCAAATTAAATATATATACTGTATATATTTGTATTACTATATATATTTGTATTATATTATTTATTATATTCTCAACCCTCCATTTTTACAGATCAACCAAATCAACACAGTGGACAGATAACATGTTTGACTCTACTGAAAATCACACATGACTACAGCATTTGTATATCTGGTTGTATTGACGGAAGTGTAATGTTTTGGTCGGTTAAAAATTTGTCGCTTGTGAACACTGAACAGATTTCACTAGCTACTTTAGTGCTTAGTGAGCTATTTCAATTTAAACCATTAGCACATTTCTTTTGTTCATTAATAAGACCAAAATATCCTGTGGTTGATATTGTTACACAAAGTTATACAGAACATGAATCCAAACTAATTGTGCATTATTTCATTTTTATTGCTTATGGTATAAAATTATGGAGAATGCATATCAAATTAAATCTATCCAATCAGTCGACAGAAGATGTGGAAAATACTTTTGAACAAATTTTTTCTACCAAGGGTAAACTAGGCATGTCACTTATAGACTTGGATGTCATTTGGTCATCTGAAACAATTGCTATGTGTACTGAAATAGGCAGGTAAGTATTTTCGGAATTTCTTTGTGAAAATTAAATAGTTTATAAGACAATAACATAAAATTATTTTCAATGTGGATCTGATCACAAACCGACATTAGTTAAATGAATCATTGAAAACTTTAAAGCACTGAACAGATGTTTATTCCTAGTTTGAGAACTAAACCTACATTGTAATTAATCCAAGTCATCTGCACAACTCAAAATCTGAATATCAATCACCAACTCATCAATGGTTCCTGGATCAATGTCCTGTAGTTCGAATGAGAAGTTTGTTGTCAGTTGGACCCATTGTGTTGAAGTGGAGGGAATGTCCATTAACTCCATTAGTTGGTAGTAGCTCTATATAGCGAAATGACAGAAGTTAGAATTCATAGTGCATTCAATCTCAACCCAGTAGCTGACTGGTCAGCGAGCTATCCCCATAATTTGAAACTCTTTAATTTGATTCCTAGAAGTTCATAGGTGCGTATATCTGAAGAGTCCTAACCTAAGATGAGATATCTGTCCATTGTCCCCTAGTTTTCAACGATTGCCTAATTGTTGTTGGTTTGTTATAGGATGTACAGTGAAACTGATTCAATTTCCTACAAACATCAACGAAAGCCGTCATTTGTTTCATCATGAACTGATATTGGTTAGAGAACCATTGGGAAACCTGGGAATACTGGACAGCTTTTTCGTCCCAATTTGAGGCTCTTCACAGTACGCACCCACCGGGGCTCGAACCTAGGACCTCCTGCTTACAAGGCGAGCTCGTGGACCATTAAGCCCCTAGGACCCAATCCAATGGTCCGTGAATTCTAACTTCTGCTATTTCACAAATAGCGTGACCAGCCGGTGGTTGTGTAGTGATGAAGAGTCCCAAACCAAGACGAAATATCTGTCCAGTACTCTCAGGTTTTCCAGTGGTTCTATAACCGATTTCAGCTCATTATGGAATCCTCCAACCAATCAAACGAAATCCCAATAAACCATTACGTGAAAAAACAATATTCAGCGGTAAAACAAAGTTATCCCAAACTAAATATGAAATAAAGAAAATGATTGAAACGGAAGAAAAGATGTAGTTGGTTAAAAGTAATAAGGTGTTAGCAACTTTAAGGAAACTTCGCCGTGGAACTGTAATTTGTATGTGATCGTATCATCCAAATTACAGTGGTTAGGACTCTCGCCGACCATGCATATGGTCCGAGTTTCGATCTCCTACCGACGCACACCTGATATCTATGGTCGGTCTGCGAAATTCAGGCTACCAGTATCACATGCTGAAAATTTCATACTTGTACCAAAAATACGGTGTGGAATCAAGCTGTAATCAAAAAAACTAGCAATTATAGGGTTAATTAGATTTCAGCTTTTGTAGTGATTTGCGTTGATTAATTGGTTCATGAACTAATTTCGACACAAACTGGCATCCTCTAGGGGATCACTGAGAGCCTGGAGCACTGTAAAACCAGCTGTTTTGTTCCACGCACGACTCTTCAGCAGCAAACAAGGCCCCATGAGGAATCGAACCCAGCACCATCGGGTGACGGTTGAGCGCGTTGACCATTAATAATAATAATGAAAGCTTTATTCTGGACAAATGTTTACGCAGTGTACAAAATTCTCAGCGTAATTTATTGCATAATATTTTCTCTTCGTCAAGAATCCCTAAATAAAATAGCATTCTATTATACATCGCATGACGCAATGCTGTTTGATCTCTAGCATAAACAAATCCCCTGTGGTATTTTCCTTCGTCTCAGATAAATGCATAGTGGTATGTTGTAAGTTAATTAGAAGTGTTCCTGAGCATATTTTGCGACCCAGAGACATAACCGAACGGTTGAAACGATAAGAAACAGGGAAAGTTAAATGCTGACCGCCAGTTATTCAACTATTTGTGCTGGAATTCAGTCACCCCTGCGTTTTGTTTTTGCCTATTCGTGATACACTGCTAATACCAATAAATGCTGCCGATGGCTATTCACTTCATCTTGACATGGTGGACCAACCTACGGCCACGATTTCCCATTAGAATTCCTAAACATCCATCCAGAAGCCAACATTGTAATGATGAATTTAGCGTTTTGTAGGGATTAGGAATAGTTTCATTAAAGTCCCGGATTCGATCCGTGGTAGGCTTCCGAGTGCGTACTGCTGAAGATTCCAAAACTAACATGAAACAACTGTCCAGTGGTCTGTGGTTTTCAATTATTAGGTTAATTCTTTCCTTCCGTAACCTTTTTTGAAATGTTTGCAATTTTCCTACGTTTAGCTTTATACTTCTTCACTTCATCTTGCTGTAACCATACTTGGTCATTTCCATGAAAATGCATCTCATTGGTTGCGTTAATATTGCATTTTGTTTTCAGTATTTTTTCATGTTTTGATTAAACTGTATTCTCTATACTTTCTACTGTTTCTCGACCCTTCTTTATTCGAACTCCTTTCTATTTTACTCTGTACTTTCGTGCATTGTTTATTTCTTAATGTTGATCTTTTTCACACAGTTCTGGCGTTATCTTTTCGGCGGACCGTAGCAACACTGTTGATGGCATTCAGCCTAAGAATATGATACTTTGAGCATTGTGCCTTCGATATATCCTGCATTTTGGATTTTACCTGTAACTCAAGAGTTCAGTTTGTTTGATCAAACGTCCAATTGTTAATGTTAATTGCCTTTCCTAATTTCTTAAAAGAAATCTATGTATAGTTTCTGTTTGAAACTGTTTATTTAAATGTAGCTAGATAGCTACTAACTATTAACAACTTCAACTTTTCACTATAAAAATTATGTGAAATTAGGTCTTTGTTTTACTACCATGTGATACCCTCGTGTTAAGTGGTTTTCCTAATGTTGACAAATTGTAAAAACATTTAATGCTTAAAACTACCGTCATTATTATGATTATTACTCTTCAATTTCGTAACACTGGAGAATGATTACATTGTTAAACCTTTTTGAAGAAATCAAATGAACACACATACACACAGTGCGGAGCCAGCCAAGAGGTGAATCGTTGTGAAGATGATGATTGTTTTTCCCCGTCATGATTTTTTAGTCAAATTATCAGATATAATCTGCCAAGTGCAAAGTCTTTATGAGCCTAAACTTCACTGTTAGGTGTGTTCGTGGTTGTACGGTTTTCAGTTTCTTTATGCATACAGCACATGAAGGAAACGTGTACTCATTTTAGAATTCATATCAAATATTGCTTTTTTCTGCCGATCAATATGTTTTCATAATGTTATATGCAGTGGAAATGCAACTTACTCCATAGATTTATTGTGGAATACCTGTCTGCATTTGCTAGGAAAATAACTACCTTTTACAATTATCATGTGAAAATTATGCTTTAAACCAGTACCCAAGTAACTGGCCTCCTCGGGATAATAGATTTTAAAAGTCCGAAAAACTGTTGTATTTAATTCTATGTCAGGAGATTACGATTCAAAGCTTGAAAATATTAGTGGCTTTGGAAATGCCTTTTGTAGTAAAAACAATTTTCGACATTATCATCGATAGACTTTGAAGATGATCGTTGAAAATTACCTGTGCATTATCATGCTGTCAGATTGAATCTTTTCTGTAATACACCGCTCTTCATGTTTATTCAACCAGTTTTTGATTAATGTGAAATGATCTGCAGATAGTAACCAATGAAATCGTCTACATATTGTTAATTGGTCTCCAAAATCTAACAAATATACCTACATTATGCCTTCACTAAGCCAAGTAGATTACAATGTACAACAGTGTTGTCTTTAGACACCATTTTGTATGTTATTTATGACCTGTGCGCTAACTAGTAGCACAAACTGTTATACAAATAACCAGAACTTAGATATTATTATGGATGGTTTAGGAGAGTTTAAACGCTCTGTTCGATTCAAAGTTTCCCTCAAAAACCAGTCTGACAATATCTTCACACAATGTAATATTATCAGAATGAATTTTTACTGAACATTTTCACCTATCAGACATAACTTCCAACTTCGTGTGCATTTTTCAGTCAGCTGGCCAGTAGTAATAACCTTAACACATTGGATATGATTCAAAGCGGTATTTCATCATATGCATATTATCTCTAACTGATAGGTCATCCAGATATTTTTCTTAAAGGTATCTCGTCCAGAAAACAGAGAAGATGTGGCTCATTGCCTTGAGCACCAGATTTTCAGCCAGTAGGTTGATAGTTCAAATTCTGCCTCATCTACTTCAACCTGGTTATCTGGGGGGTATCATTATCCTCTACACAAAATCAGCATGGATCATAGGTTGGAAAATAAAAACCTCTTCTGGAAACTTAGTTCAGATAAACACATGAGGCTAGTTATTGTAGCTATTAAGTGTAAAAGATCTACTGAGGAAAATCTATGCACATAAAAGTACTAGTTACTTTGAGATGAGACCTTGTGCAATTAAAAGCTTGTCTCATTGAATCATTTATGTCCTTCATCTGTTGCATTCTAGACTTTCAAATGTTGACTTGCTGAGTGCTGAAGAATCCCAAAAAAGACGAAATAGCTATCCAACACTCTCTTTGTTTTTCAGTGCTTCTGTAACTGATGTCATTTCAATCCAACTTACTCGAGAGTCTTTTCTGAAACTCTTCTAATGAAATTATAAATCTTATAAGATTGTTTATGTTTAAATGCGTAATATTTAGCTTCATTACAAGTCATCCTATTATGAAATAAGCCCACGTTATAGTAAACCCAATCAACTAGAGCAATGTGAAATTGTTGCTGTTCTCGTTAATGGTGATGTCATAATTGTAAGCAGTAATGAACGTGAAAGTTTTTCATTTGATCAAAGCATTGTACAAAGGTAAGCATAATATAAGTTCTCTTTACTGTTGTTATCATTCATTTATATTTTCCTATTTATTAACACTGGTTTGTTACGTAATAATGAAGTCATTACATCCTAGTGATTAGATATGACTGATGCATGTTGTCTTATAGAGTTAAATCTGATGGGTTGATTACAGCTTAGCTGAAAATTCTGTAACTGCAGGTGTGATGCAGACTGGAATCTCGTAAGTAAAGTGTGAGTTGTGAAGTCTATAGATATGTTATGTTGAGGAATTTTAACAAATCTGTAATCCGCATATTTCAGGACTGCCTCCTCACTTACTCCGTAAACCAAATACCAAGATCTTGATCTGTAGAAAAATATACATCTGATCACTCGTCTGTCGACAATGTTATAAACTCCCAGAAATGAAGTCAATAACTTATTAGTGAATGGTTACTACCCTCAAACTCCATTTTGATGGATATCAGAAAACAAGTTCATCTTTAGTGTAATCATAATTGATTATGTTCAGAATAATGGAAAATTTCGAACCTTTCTGTTGTTATTTCTACCAGTTAAAAACTAATATAAGGGTAAAATTTGACCAGGACGGCCTGTTTAAATCACCGGACTACTTAAATTTTCTATCCATCAAGATGCATGATGTTTACTCCCTTTCCTATTTTTCTAATAATCTAATTAACACAATGTGAGTCACAATTCATACTTGTGTACTATTTCAAATAAGTTCTTACCTATCGCTGGGAATTTTTCGAAGGAAATTGTTGAATAACACTTTGAAGTAGTACTGGAACAAGCTTCAGAAGGAACAATACCACTTCAGATGATATATTATCGACTATTATATCATTTGAAGATTCTACACGAGAAGTAAATACCATGCAGTGACACTCGCTGAAGATTATGCATTGTGTATAAACGCATTTTTCAGAATAAAGCTATCATTTTATCATTTCTTTAATATATAATTTCGTGTTAAATAAGTTGATTAATTATAACACATAATGATACAGTATTGATAAATGGATGATGCTTGAAGCACACTTCTATGTACTCACAAAATAAAGTGGAAAGATCTAGTTGTGATCTCTAAGCTGGAGAGATGACTTATAAACTCGTAGAGAAATCTAAAAGCTCACTTCGGAATTGAGTATGCGCTGAAGATGGTGCCTATTAGGGCAATGAAAGCTTTGCAAATAAACCATCCAGCTCAGAGATTACAACTACATCAAAATCATCCACCTGAGCTGCCATTCTTATCCATTATATCAAAGGTCGGATAGGGAAAAAGTAATATAACTAGATGGGAGAAAGAGAGGTTAATTACACTTAACGCTTACAGTTGAAATGACGCGACGTCCATACCGAATACATGGAAAATTACAAAAAAAAATCAGGAGTAAACTATATAAAGCAAATTATCAAGTTTAATGAATAGACTGAGATGACTATTAACAGTAAATTGTACTTTAAATGGCATATACTGTGTCACTGTGTGTTATTTATCGAATAAAGTAGGCAAATCGGGAAATACAATGTTCTTAACATATTGTTCATTCACCTTATCATAAAACATACATCTGAGATTATTTTGGAATTCATTCTTGTGGCAGTCTGTATAAGAACCCTTCACTTCGTTTCATATCAGGATTTTAAGTGGAAGTTTTATTAAGTCAAAAGTTAAGTTCAGTTTTTGTGGTTGCCTATTTAGGTTTTATTATACTGTTGTAGTGCATAGATGCTGAAGATTCAATTCCTCCTTAGAATTATTTTTTGGAATGAAATTATTACTACTATCATTAGTTATCAGTAGTAAGACGGTAGTTCTCATACTAAACGATAGTATCAATATTCCCTCGGTGGAAATTTATGACCTTGACTGTATGTGAATATTCCCGTAAACTTTTATATGATAATATCGAGTGACCTATTTGCTACATTCTCAGCCCGAATTTATAAATCACAGTTTACTGATCTATTAATTGTATTTTATCTTAATTTAGTGGTGCCTTATGCTCATCTCTGCATACGTGTAATGCTGGGATAATTGCCACGTATTCAGGAACTGCTCTACTGTGTAAACATACTGATGATGTAAGTGATTGAATATTTTGTAGCGTGTTATTTCTTCCTTTTTGAGAGAGGAAAATTAACGGGTAGAAAACTTGTATTGTTTAACACTGCACCACTTATACTCACCCTTCGTATTTCCAAGTAATTCCTCTCCACAATGATAGTACTTATATGTTTGCGACAAAATCTGTGTGTGTGTGTTGTTTTTGGCTTGTGTATCCTTGTAAGAACTGTGACCACACTTTCACTGGAAGCGCTATGATAACTAACCTGAAATGTTTATTTCCCTACAGTAGACAGCTGATTATAGATTCTGTGCTCTTAATGCTTGAATATATTCAAGCATATGTGCATTAAGATGATTGGTGTGATAAATATAGCACAAATAAGTCAACATTTTGATGCGCTGGACTTTGTTTGTTAAACGATTTAGCAATACAGTGAAGCACATCCATATTTCGTCTTACTTGTCAGTAGTATGTCTTTGCTAGGGTTGTAGAATATAGAAGATCAATTCAATAGAGGTGAGTATTAGATAAAGGCATTATTCGCTTGGGCAAGTCTTTGATGAATATTCCTCCAGCATAATGATGTCCTTTTATCCCCATCTTTTTTAACAACCCTAATCCGTTTGAAAATTTTCATTCAACTACAATATGCAAAAGCGCTCTTCACACTGTGGTCGTATTCTGTGATCGAGTAGTGTTGGATGACAAACTAACCAATCACTATCAATGAAAGGGATTTGAATGAAGTCACTTCTTTCACTTACCTCACCAGCATCATTTCAACTACAAGCGATATAGATGAGAATGTCAGACGCATGAAGGGAAAAGTAAGACAGACATTCGGTACTCTGGAATGAGTATGGAAGTCTTCTAGAATCAGCAAGATTCGAATTTTCAACTGTAATGTAAAATGAGTGCTAATATATGGTTCAGAGACTTAACCCGCACGTAATCGAAAGCATTTCCAATAGCTGATTGAAGACTTTCATTGACAGCTGACTCCGCCCCATGCTGAAGATCAAATGGCCAGAAAGGTTTAGCAGCAAGAATTCTGGCAACGAACCAACCGAGTACCTATCGCCGAACGAATATGTCGAAGGAAATAGAAATGGATTGGACGCATGTTGAGGAGACCGTAGAGTCACATCGAGCGACATGCCCTCGAGCAGAATCCAAATGGGAAACGATAAGTCGGGTCCTAGTTCGAGTATCATATGGAGAAGATAGTGTGAGGAGGAGAAAAGACCTCATGAGCAACAATGGAGTCAGCTAAAGTGGACAGTAGATAACAGGATGAAATGAAAATGTGTGCTTCTGAAGCCTTATGTTCCACTTGGAACCCAACGGAATAACAATATAATATACTATGAGTTTATATTTTGTTTACCATGTTACTACGTGATCGTGCTTATTGATTTCCACCAAAACTTATCTCTTTTAATGTGTCAACATTGTATTTGGTCCGTAGTAATTTTCCTCCCATTGTTAAACGGCATTTACTGTATATTTACTCTTTATGTTCCATCCTCTCTTGAACACTGTGTATTCGAATCCCTTTTTCTTTCTTGTTCTATACACTCGCCCATTGTTTATTGCTACTCAGAACCCAAAGGAATAATATTAGTAAATAAAGAATCTGTATTTGTGTGAACGAAAATATCAAAATGTGTTGGTCACATATTAAAATCACGATCATATGGATGAACTATATATGTATATATATGCTGTTTCATTTCTCTCCATATTTCATTTCCATTCTTTACGTTGTTATTCTCTAATCTCTTTTAGAGTCATACATTTAAACTTTTCCCAGGATATATTGGTTTGTGTGGCAAAGAAGTATGGATTAAATCGTTGAGTACGTTACATAACTCACAATCAGAAAAGAATAATGTGTAAGTTGTTTACTAATTTAAAACAACACTTTGTGTTTTTCTCACTGACTTTCACCAAAAGACATAACAGGCTGGAAAAGAGCTAGCGGAGGTCAAACGAAAACATGGCACCAGTCAATGAAATCTATAACAGTTAGTCTAAGCCACGTAGGAAGGTGTAGACTTCCTGGTTGGGGTCCTCGGGATGGTAAAAACCAATGGTTGGAAACAATTGGTGACATGGCTCAAAATCGTTCTCAATGGCTAGTGCAGATGCATCCACTCCTTGTGACTTATGATTTCCAATGAAACTGTTCTGTTCTTCGTTATTACTATTCCTTTGTCTCACACCTCTGTTTACTGTCTCTATTATGGATTTCTTCTACTTTCTCATGTTGCTTTGTGTGCTACATGGAGTGTGGCGACTTGAACTGCCGCACATTGGTGCAAAGTTCTATGTCGAAAACAGACAGACAAAAGACCTAACAACGAAAGATGACGTAACCGATGTTAATTATCAAATAGATTGCATGAATTGAGAAAAAGACTTCATTAGCCAGGGCAGACTCTCTTCATCTTTGTAGTGATGAACGCAAGATATCAGTTGAAAGACATGACATACATTGGTTCACGTGGACAACTATGGGCATCAATTCTAATGGGATAGTATAAAAATTCCAGGCAGATGAATCTAAAGGAACATCAGTAATCCTTTGAGACTTGATATTCAAATCAATCTGCATAGTTATGTCTGTTTATTAATTAAGTAGTAAAAATGTGTAGATCTGCAATTAATTAGACACAAGAATCCATTCATTTCTTACCGTACTACTTGAAAATGACTTGATTCAAAGGATCCTGTAGCAGTCATCATATCGCGAATATAGAGTGGAGGGAGGGGCATCACTTAAAGTTCATGAGTTGCTGGATCTCAAATCTAGGTTTTTCGTCTAAAAAAATAACCTTTAAACAGAATTCTAATTTCTTCCCAGCAAGTATCCAGTATGTCTTTGGATAAATTACTGTTCAAGACGCAGATATCACTTTTTCTGAAGTTCGTTTCTGTAATATGACTCCTGGTTGTGATCTGACATATTGTAAAAAACCAGAGAGGAAAATTTCCATCCAGAGTCATTTATCTGAATTCAATGCTTCATGATCATTTATCCTACGTAACCGGGATAAAAAAAAATAGATTAAGCCATTCGAATCGTCTCTCTTATGGATATTTGAAAATGACACTTACTTTCTTAGCTAATTGTCAGGGTATAATGGACGCAATAATTATGCTTCAGGAATTTTGTAAGCAGTTAGTCATTATCAACCTCAAATTATAGTATAAGCGTCAGTAAAATTCTTAGACGTTATCAGACACTGTCACTTATTTGCCTTGCTTGTATTGGTCTGGGCTTTTCTTCTTCAGCACTAGTGAAATCAGCAAGTTGTTGCAACCTGTTTGTACTCCTTTATTTTCCATTGAGTTCATTGTCTCTGCGATTGAATGGATTTTGTTATCCCCATTATTTGACATCGAAAACCTACCAGTAAATGTTCCAGAGGGTTGCGCACTGAAAATTCATCCATTCGCTTTTACATACCAATTGTACGTTCATAATGCATATCTAAATAAAGACCTTCATATCTCTTGGGTAAAGATCGTTATTCATCGTCCATGACAACATTATTTGTCATACAAATTTCCATCTGTAATCAAACTAATGGGTTCATGTATCTTTTCATCGAATGTTTAAGCTTTTTTTTACTAACTGTTTAGTTACTGCATTGTAAGGATAGTTTAGGAGATAAAAGTCCTAATTAGAATGAATGGATACGATAATAAGTGTATTTTACACTGTAGACGCTAGATGTACTCATTTGACGTACACCAAAAAAAACAGAACAACTATTCTATAATGCAAAACACGGAGAACGTTTCACAATCGGTACTTTTCGGTAGTGATCTGTGCGGTGTGCGGATTTCACCGTGTACCTTCAGTCTAACCGGTCGACTTAAGTAGTGTATGTCAACACTCAATGTTGAATGATGATGAAGGCTGTAGGCTTATAATTTTATAGAATCATTTCGTGCTACAATGGCCTTTATTTAATGCGGAAAGATTATAAATTTTAGCGTTACATATATCAGTTCCCATTGTTTCATTTGTATTCCGAATGTTGTAAGTTGCTGTGATTAGAGAATTTAGGTTTTTGTGTTCAGTGTTTACATCACCAAATTTTACTACTACCAGTGAAGTCATAGTTTGAGTTCGACGCAGAACAAAAAGTTAGTCAGTTAATTAGTAGGACTTAGTTTCCCTTCGTGTGGCTATGATCCACAGTTATTGTGTGAGGGGCTGATGAAACGACCCAGTTGCTCAGGTTTAAGTACATGCAGCGAGATTTGAATTCGGGTCTTACTGGCTGAAATTCGATTGCTTAATCCAATGGACTACTACACACTGTGTGCCTATGCTCTCTTTGGTAACGTGGAAATTCGCTTTCACGATTTAATCGAATTGACTTCTGGTGAGGATAAAGGTAATCTCAAAGTGTTTTTGTGCAAGGATACTACAGATATTTCATCTGCATAAAAGATCGATAAAACACTTAAGTGCATGAGATGATATAGGCAGTCGGCAGACAAATTTACCTCTCTTTAATTTCCACCTCCCTGATAAAAATGGGACAGAAGCGGTCAATTGCAACTTTTAATTCTGTCAGCTAGTCAATGTTATCCACGATCTTATTTGATTTTTTAAAGCATGTTTAAAGAAATACTATAATACTGCATTTGGCTGTCTTATGGATAGTTTTACATAGCTAGAAAATCTCTTGTGCTATTTAGCTACTCTGTGTGCGAAAACAGCCTGAGATTATTTTTGTCGTCATCCGATTTTACTTTTTATCACAGCCGAAAGTTATATTGTATAACGTGATCCTTACACCTATATTAATATAAGTATATTGAAAGTTATAAATGATATTGCCTTCCTTTTCCTTTAGATTATATTTAGCTGAATGTCAAATGGATTGTTATTGGAAAGTGATTATTGCTAACTGCATTGGTGATGTATTGACAGAGTTCTCGGTGAGTTTCGCTCAACAGATTTATCTGTTTATATGTTAGTTGTTTTATTCTTTGTCAACAACTTTTTCCTTAATAACACCCATCTTTTACCGAATAAACAAGATGCCCCTATAAATGACCTGGTACGACAGAGCTTGGGTAGACTTCAGTCCTCTTCTCAAAATCCTGTCATGTAACCACACATTCATAGCCTTTGACAGGTAAGTCCTGTTCACTATCTTCACGCATTAGAGGTGTACCTCACAAACGTAAAATTAGTCAATATGAACCTCTGACACTTACGATCGGACTGATGGTGGACATGCAGGTCTACCTGGTTGAGCAGCTGGAAAATCCTGATTCCAAACCTATGATTTACGTGCTCTCCGGAATCCGAACAGATCAAACGATGCATGGACCTGTTTTTGTTAGCAGAAACCATGGGAACCTAGCTCCTGACGCCGATTCACCACCTCGTAGTTCCGACTTCATTTCAAAGGCTCGGGGTGGGAGTGACTTCGGTTTAGGCATTCAAGCAGTATCCTAGCCTTCGCACCAACGATGAGATAACAACTTTTGTGTGATGCATCTCATGGGTACCAAAAGACGCACCACGTTTGTGTTTCAATAATAATGACTAAATAAATAAAATCTTGAATGATGCTGTTATCTTTGCTTCTGTTTTTTCTGGCTTTTAAACAGTTTCAGAATTTATCACTCAGAGTGACTGCCTACTGTGCAGTACTGTTACCTACAAAAGAAGATAATTATTCAAATGTATATTTGATCTTAGCAACATCAGATAATAATTTACATCTTTTACAATGCACAATAAACAATTCTACTCAAATTGTTTCAACACACTGGAAACTGGTAGGCCTAATAGTAATTATTCTGTGCATTTCTTGTACTATCTTTGTATATTTTAAATTCTAATTTTCTGTATTTAGTAAAATAACAAACTGTCTGGTTACTTCATTACTTCATCACTTCGATCGTGATATGGAGTGAACTTCTCACCATCTTGGAATTATTTCTACCTCTATTGAGATAATGTGGTTAGATACACCTAGAAAAAGAATTCCTGTTTTTTTGTCTGGTTCCGGCAAACAATCTATTAAATTTAATTTCAAATTAAGACACGACACAAGTATTGCACAGTGTTTATCAGTGAGTTGGTTGGAAGCAGTTAAGTATTTGAGGCATGAGTTAACTCCAATTTCCCTTCCATGATGTATTAACAATTATTGAAGACCAAAGATAGACGTTTCTTCCTAGCCCGAGGTTGGTCATCAGTGCACAAACACAACTACATGTGAAGTTGAATTTAGAACTACCAGGTGAGGAGATGACTAATTGTGAGATCACTGTTTCAGGATGTTTTATATTAGCATTCTAGTGATCGCATAATATATTTTAGCCAACCTTGCATAAAATCACTCTGGACGTGAGTAACTTTTTGACTGGTTATTTTGTTTTAGCGTTGAGGTTTTAGATTTTGATGGTGATCAACAGAAACTTTGAGATTTGCATTCACGATTACCTGCTAACTTTTATGTAATGAATATCAAAAGGGCACCATCATAGAAAAAAACTTATTATATGACTTTGCTACTTCACTTGTATCTAACAATTTGTAAATGACAAAGATGATCTGTAGCTCAGGTGGACGCTTTTGATATGATTGCGTTCTCTGAGTTGAGTGATTTAATTACAAAGCCTCCATTGTACTTCCAGACAACATCTTCTACTCAAGATTTACTGTGAAGTGAAATTATTTGGATTCTTCTGGAATGATATAATTGTATCTCCAGCAAGACACACAACATCCTCCCTCAAAAAGCAAAAGGAGATTCGTCCTGCCATATAAAGAATATTTCTGAAATAACGGTTACAATACTAAAACCATTCGAAATAGATATCACACAGAAACCAATACAATCACTTCATTCAATACTACTCAAACCAAAAGACCCAGAACAAAAGAAAACAAGATAATCACCATCTAAAAAATAAGTTGCATAAATTATGATAAGATCTATGCTGGTTAAACTGGGCATCCCATGACACTACGAATCCACGGACACAAACTAGCTATCAAAATACGCGCCGTGTATTTTTTTATATCAGTAAATGTGCAGACAACTGTGGACATGAATTTCACTGGGAAAATGTAGAAATTTTAAACCGTGGCAATACCAAATAAATGCCGAGAAATTCTTAGAAGCCTGGTACTCAGATGAATAAACAACCAACAGAAACATTACTATAGATCAATTTTATGAACTGGTAACGAATGAGACAAATGACCAAAACTGTCAAATTCAAAATCAATAAAAACGATCAATACTAATGCAAATTAGCAAATGATCCCTATTATATCACTCATGGAGAGTTCAAATAAGTGCACTTCATACTGAAAAATGTGTTCAAGATGTTCTCTAGAAGAACAATGAAAGCTTACAATCAAATCATCAAGCTTGGAGAACGAAACCACACCAAAATCTGTGGACAAACAGTTGATTTTCAAGAGTTAGTTCGTAGGGATTGACGGAAGTTAGAATTCACCAGCCACTGGATTCTGGTCCAAATGATCTAATGAGCAAAGAGCTTGATCTCACAAATTGAACACCCAGGGTCCGACCCCCATTAGCTGCGTACTTCTGAAGAATCTCAAAAAAGGACGAGACGGTTATCCAGTACTCCCTGGATTTCAGTGGTTCTCTCACTGATATCAGTCTGTGATCAAACTTGAAATAAACAGTTGCTTATTTTGTTTCTATGAATCGCTAGTCTTATTATTCCCAAAATAACACAATTACCATATCGTTGTAACATATAGATACTGAAGATTCAATTCCTTCTTAAAATTATTTTTTGAAATGAAATGATTACTACTATTATTAGTGAACAGTAGTAAAACGGTAGTTGTCATGCTAAACGATATTATTATATTCCCTTGGTGAAAATTTGTTTTCTATGTGACATTCATAAGTCGGACAGAGTGCAATTGAAAACATATTCAGCCGCGCCCTTTCAATAATCCAAGAGCTGAATTTACTTTATGACTGACGGACATATTTGTTTTCATGTTAAGATGATGAACTGTGAGAAAGGACGTCCTTAAAGTTTATGATGACAATATACATTCATGCTAACTTCACGACAACACATATTTCTTTTCTTTTATAGATCACTGTCTATCCAACTGAAGCACAGGTCACTAAACTTACCATTGTCAATGAAAACCCCTTAATAATTCTTTGTGGTGACGTACAAGGTCGAGTTGACTGTTATGCCTTACTGTGATAACCTAATTCATATCATTTCCAGAAACCTGTTTTATTTTTCTCCCTTTTATATCGCGCAATGGATTCCCCTAGATGCAAGTAGTATTATTAATTTGTCATATCATGGTTTTGATAGAGACAGTTTTCTAATCTTTTCTTATAGTAATAATTTTATTGGACTCATGGATTTTTTAAAATACCATCTGTAGTTTATTTGCATCACTTGTCATTGATTAAATAAATTATCTTTCTCTTTTTCAGTCTTTATTCAACTGTTCCTTAACTTTATCTGTTTCAATCTAGCTCAAAAGTCTGAAAAGAGCAATTTGGAGTCATGTAGAAAAAAACAGCTGCATTGTAAGCTTATCTTGTTTAAATGTAATGACTAATTTATGTTCTGTGACGATTAGTGCATGTTTGACGCTAGCGTCCTGTGCTTGGTAGCTGTAAAGGCTGTTTACACTATTCAGATGAACACTACCATTTCAGTATATCAGTTAGGCCTATAATCAACCTAGGTTCACTCTTTTATTCCTTTGCTTTTCGAATGGAATATAGGGCTTTAAGCTTGAGTCTTGAAGTTCTAGTAGCATTTGGTATTATTTTTATTGCCTTTTTTATAGTGACGTCCATCATTCTCTCTATATCAGATTCGATACGGGCTAGGCGGTTTTAGAACTGCGTCAGCCAGAGATCGAATCCTGATCAGCGAGTATTCTACTACTGAACCACCGATGCACAATCAACTTAGGTATTATTACCTTTAAAGAAAGTGGGGGTGTGGTCGAAATAAGCTTCACAGTTCCAGTATTTACACCATTCTGAAGTAGCAGTCTTTCTGTCTATTGCCTTTGCAGGTGTACATACACAGGACGTTTTATAAACGCTAGTGGCATTCAGTGGGTGGTTAGTGACTAAGGAGTACAGAATGACAAGATGAGTAACCAAGTAAACATTAATCCTTCTTCATGCTTTGTAAGGTTCTCTTTCTTTATTGAACAGTATTGAACGATGAATACCCTTCTGTGTTTGACTAGATTTCTCCGCTTCATTTGCCCACCAGCGTGAATAAACTAAACAGGCGTTCATCGGTAACTGCTCCCTTCTTACTCCGATCTAGCTACATATTCTGCGGAACTGTGTAGGTTATGCAGTACCGATAGAAAGCAGGAAGAAGTAAACCTCGAACAGCTATACAGACAAACGTTTTAACCAGCCATAGCCTGTTCGTTAATAGTCATGTTTCTCAAATTTTTGTTTACTGGTAGACATTTCGAACACCATTTATTGTTTACACAAACATGTCAAATGCAACTGCACAACTTCGAATGCTGGATTTCATACTCCCAGTCCTTCTTTTCTATTTGGCCCAGGTGTATATATATATATATATCCTCAGTTGATTCAGCACATACAGCTAAATAGCATTCTTTAACAGCAAACCTTTCAGTGTCATCAAGTCGCATTTTGCAAACCAATTCGCTATTTGCGATTTACACAGTTCGAGGTGAAATTTCACCACACAGTTTCCTTTTTAGATACAGAAATTATTCACATCACAGTATGTAATAGCAGTCAGGAAACCAAGCATACATACATGACGTTATATACTACCGGCTAACTGATATGAATAGTTGGACACCACTCTCATCGAGCAGTAGTGTTTGCTATCCAGTCGCCGAAGTTGCTACTTAGAACCCAAGCAGTCTGAACTAATTTAGCTCTCTGAGCTGAACCAAATCGGGCACAACGTTGATGAACTCAGCCCCGAACGAGCGAAATGGCTGTCCGATGTTTACATTACTTTTATCTGACTGCTCAGAACTAGTGATTGATGTGACAGGTGTTCACCAACTACTCATGCTAGTCAATCAGTAATATATATGACTCAGCATCAAGCTACATATCGCTACCAGTGTAGCTTCATTAGATGTCCAACAGCATATTTACATTCTATTGCATAATTCTGTGTCGCTGAAAACTCTGTTGGATCTGATTAAGAACTACTAATAAAGTGCTGTTTTCTAACTTGTTTTCGCCATATCATTTCTGCGCTTTGAATTTTCTGTAGCGGTTGAGTTGATTCTCTAGGGTAGGGTCGCTAGCCCCATACCTATCTTTACCCCTATTTTTTGGGCTTGGGACAGACTAGAAAACTAGGCGAGATTAGCGAAAAAAGTAGCTTGGAACAAGGCATAAAAATTTCCAAATGGAATAGTCGGTGAAAGGAGTACTGGTGTAACGGTAGAAGACGAGAGACTTGGTGAAGGAATGCGTATTTGGAAATCGATATCTTTATATGGCGAAATTATGTACACCTTATTTTCAAATCACCATTTGCACAGATCTTCTGTGTTGTGGTACTTCTGGTCTTAATATTGTGTGTTCCTTTCGCGTTTCCATGTATACCTGCAACGCCATATCATCTGCTTTCTCTGACATCAAATATTATTCTCCTGCTTTTGACGTTTTTATGCCGATCAACCTCTCTTTGCATATGTATACTACTGATAAATCCTATCAGTAGCACACGACACACTGCTAACGATTTAGAATTATTGTTTCGAATTCACCAAGTAGCGCGTGGTGGCATTTACCCACCGATGGTATTAGAGGACAGTTCCGCTTTATAGCCGACTGCCAGCGTCCATATTTGGAAAGCATAGTTAGGGCGGTTATGAGGACAGAGAGCTGAGTAGTTCATAATTAAAACATAACTGTAACCCTTAGTTTTTAAAGATTTTGTAAGTGATTTGCTCTGTGACAACACAAAATTTATTCATATACCACCAATGCCTGAAACATATTCTAACTATGTAGCAATAGTCTTCAATCATATCAACCTTATAGTCTAAGCTTACATTTTATCCGAGTTAGTTCGGATTAGATGACAGGGTAGTTTTATTGAATCAAACGTGTTTCATAGTCTAGAACAAAACCTGTATCATTCATTCAGGTCAAACTAATAATAATCAATAAAATTCGGAGCAGTAGTGTCTAATACACAATAATACGACAGAAAACAATACAAAATTTAATAAGTTGATATATATATATATATATATATATATATATATATATATATGATAGCAGTTAATTGCATATGAACATACCACCCTAATTAAACCATTTGACAACAGATTAATACAAGAATTTCGAAACTTCATAAATAAATCGATATATGCATACATAAACAGATAACGTTAACTGAATTATTTGCTAACAGGTTAATTACTGACAATTAAATTTCATTTTGACATGGAACTTAAGCAGTGTAGTAGAATACGACCCCATAATAGAATAATGTATCTGACACAGCACAGTAACGGCGGTGTATTGCTCATTGCTGATGGTATACTATAGTTCACTCCTAATGTTATCTAAAGACCTCTTTGTAGCACGTTTTTAGGCATACACTGTATCACAGTAAAAACTATACTGACGTTTATAAGTATCTATAACATGCAGGACAATTGGGCTGTGAACAGATTTATCTTCAGCTTTTCCACACCAGGTGTGTATGTGTTCACCAATCCGGAGATAACTGTATGTACTCGTACACCATGAATAACTTGATTTACTGACTTACTATCAAAGTGTGCACACTATCAGTGATTTCATATTGTTTTTCTTAGCACAAAAGTGTAGTAGTTCAGGTGGCCAAGCTTGGTAAAAGCATATATAGAAGTAGGAAAAAATGTAGCAAGAGTACAACGCATGAACAAGTACGATAGAGACTATAATCAGATGAAGATCAGCTTAAGTTTTTAGAATCTGGAAGATAACAAGGGGTGAACATATTTGCTTTATTGTGAACGATTCTGAGCCATAACAAGGTCTTCAACAATTGATTATTAGCATTCTGAGGATATCAAACGGGTAATCTAAACCCTCCTACATGGCTAAAACCAACAACCAAAGACTTCATAAACTGGTGCTAAGACATTTCCCATAACTAACCCCAACCAAATAAGACTCCAGCTAAATGAATCGTCGGAGGAGAGGTCACGGTCCATCACAGTTGTTGGAGCTTCATAACCTCACTGATTAATTTCATGTCCCATCACGTAACACACACTATACCTAATCACATTCTTATCAAGTGTACTGCGCCACCTAACACCAGGGCAAGTGAAGACAACAAAAGTCAGAAATGCCAAATCTTTCCATATTTTATATCTTCAACAGCAATGTCTTATAGCTGTAAAGTAGGGAAAAGCAGACATTACACGCATCCTTTGATGGGGAACTATGTTTCATGCTTCTGCTAAACCAGCCATATATATGCGCCAAGAGATCGTGTCAGCAACCAGTCAATTAGTATTGATGCAACCTCACAAATAAGTGAAGTGCTAACGCATTCAAATAATTTTCTTCATACCCTTAAAATAAACCCTTACAAGGTATCTTGAGAAAAAAAATCGAGACATCTGCAAACTAATTGTGTGTTGGAGGATAGACGACACAGACGTGCTTTTTATCATGTACTGTGATACATACTTCTGGCGTGCTGCTTCAGATATGTAGTGACGGCATAATTTTGGCCGAAAAAAGGGATATAAGAAAAGCATTTTCATAAAACTGGTATCTTTTATCTAGAGATGAACATTCTTTATCTCTCTGGTTCCTGATTTCATTTGTTAAGAATTTCATCCCTCTTAAACTGTTACACAAAACTAAGTTTACCGTACGAACTGACTCGATATTAATGCAGTCAAGACAAGTATTATACCGCCAGTGAGTTTTCTAACAACACAGAAAAACTTTTCATTCAAGAGGAAAGGATAAAATTCAGACATTTTTATTTGTTGACAAATAAAATATAAAAAGACGACTATTATCCCTGATATATCAATTTTTCTATGAAAACTTATTTTGTTGAAAAAAGAAAAATGAAAAGCGGAGAAAGAGAAATCAGCTTATCGAAAAAGCTTCAGTGTAAAATGTGCTAGTGTTTCTTTTTCTTTTTTAGATTTCCCATGATATCATCTAGTGAGATATTGGTTCTACATTCAGTTAATCACAGTCTTCATTCAGCATAGCAACACGAACATTAAGAAGTGACGCGAATCCAGTCCATAGTGCGTATGGAATCATCAGATTACTAGCGTCAACATTGATTGGTCGAAATAAGTATACACATGCCAGAGCTCCACCGAAAATGCCTAAACACACTGCTGTTCCCTATAGTGAAGAAGAAGCAAGGTATACACTCAATAACTATAGGAATATTATTTCAAAATATTATAATATAAATGTCTAAATAAATAATTACTTTTTAATAAAATATCCGAAAAATAAGTCTACGAGATCTGTTAGGCAGTGACTAAAGTATAAATTCAAGACAGGTCATTTTTACATCAAATATAAAAGATCATGCATCCCTAACAAATATTAAGTGACAGTTTCTATACGGCACTGCAACTTCCGCCCACGTGCCTAGAGAGCCGTAAATATCCGCTAAGCAATTCGTAAAAATAGTGTAGCCCAGTATGATGTAAATACGAATCTGAATAGGTTGCAGTTGAAATCTCTGCTTCGCGCTTAACAATGCAAGTTAGAATTTCAAAAAGAACATACGTTACCTCGGAGTTGCAGATACGCCTCAGAATACTGGTTTAAAATCCCTTAAAGTGGTGTGAATAAAATCACTGCTTATTATCTTCTAGATTTTGAAAATATAGACTAACCAATTTATAATCCCTCCCGCACTTCTACATTCATTATAGCCTCATTACATTTCTTTCTCTACTTTATTTGTGCGTTTCCTCTGTGACAACTTGAAATGATTCACTTTTATGCAAAGTTGTTATCAAAACCAGTGACTTACGACTTATGAAACCAAACTGTCTTACATACCCTACGCAGGTAAGGCAGGAAAAATTGCATTCGTACAGAGGATATTACCAGTCGGCATACGGCAAGTCAGGATGTAAGATTTCTGGTATTAACCTGGGAAGACGACATAGCTTGAGGAAACATCTTATCCCTATCTATCACAGTACGACCACTATCAGCCCCCCTCCCATACAGTAAGCAACAGACGCCATGATGGTAACTGCTTTGTGTAACCATAATCAAAGTAAACTTCATAATGACATTGAGGACGCTCATTTCAGCCAGAATAGCTTTTTAAAAAACGATCAAGAGTCTTAACTTATCTCCAACTACTTTGTTAAGCTAATAATGCAATTTATGAACCAACGATTACTGCTAAATATGTTACGGTACCAAACACATCATTTCCAAAAGGAATAACTAACATACATATTTTATTCCATATTAGTTTGTTTATTAGATGTATCACACAGTGAAACAGTATTATATGCTGGATGACGTTTCGAACACAATTTATTGTTCATTATCATATCAATTATGATCACACGACTTTGAAATATTAGTTTTTTTCTTTCAAAGTCGTGTGATCATAATTGATATGATTATGAACAATAAATTGTGTTCGAAACGTCATCCAGCATATAATACTGTTTCACTGTGTGATACATCTAATAAACAAACTAATATGGAATTACTTACTACCACAGTGCCCAAGTTTTACACATATATTAACATACATATTTTAGTTTATGCTGCCCGAAAAATAGAGGCGTCCACGACCAATTAAGTAGAAGCTGAGCACCATAAACAGCCAAAGGAAGTAACGCCTTTTCATGTGATGCATCTCTCCACACTAAATAAGATGCAGCGCCCATGCAACCATAAAGCGCACTCCACACAGGACCAAACACCCATTTCGGGGGTGCAAATGATGGCATTTTCAGAGAATCATACCAATCCATATTCTTGGAGACAATCCGCTGGCCAGCAAACACTCCAACGAAAGGTACAGCGATGAAAGGGGCAGCATGTAATAAGGACATTTCACGCATCATAGCTCAGTGACCTACAGAAAAAGGAAAGGTTGTTAGGAGCAAGACAGAATGCTACTGGCATTCAAATAAATTACACAAACGTATGGCAATAGCCTAAGACTCCAACTGCCGCCTATCATGATATTACATAGATGAACAGGAAAATAACAGAATTTCATGTTGTGATTGTCTTTTTATAAAAGGGAAACCACTACCGTTGTGAGCGACCCGTTGTAAAATCGTGTGCTAAGTTGATTTTTGTAGGTAAAGGGGACAAAGAATATCCTTCTATCTGACTAGAAACATCTCAAAATACATATCAGACCAGAAAATGAGGGAATGAAATTTTTTCTACTAGAAATGCGTAGAGATTGACATTGGATACACCAGAAACAAGCGATCATCAATATAGAAACTATTAAAATTCACCCTGGCAGAATCCATAATTTACAACGAACGTGAACTATAGTAGCCATTTAAGCACATATAATCTGAATGGTTATTGGCTAACCGATTACTTTATTGATAAATAAGTAGGGTTAAGTGGTTCAAAAACTAGTTGGCCGCATTTATAGGGTTCATTAATGAAGTACTTATTTCTTTAACTGTAATTATGGAGCAGTCTTCCGGCCAACTGATGACGTCGAGAGAGGTTAGTGACATAATGGATAAGGCCACAAAACTGTACTTTCATGATTTGAAAGATCGCATCCAAAGGCGTAATCTGAAGGAAGGAATTCAGGTAAAACTGTGAAACGCCCGTTTACTTTTAAAAATCGACGTTTGATCAACATTTAGTGAACACAAAAGGGATTTTATTTCTAGGCAAATGCAAAAGATACCAGGGACATAACAGTGCCAGTTATGTAAATAAACTTTTCTAAATGTGAATGCTGAAAATGTGATGAGCATAATTTTCCATCGACTTATCTTTTATTTTGCTTATTTACAGGATGCTACCAGTGGGCCTCATTTGACGGATTTGCAGTGACATTGTACTACAGTTTCTAAATACAAAATTCCCTTAATTATAAAAACTGACTTCTTTCGGCAAACTAAACGAATCGCGCCAGCATAGGACACAAGTGATGGTAATTAGTAAAAGTCTTTTTGTTCTTTAGTAATGCTAGTTCATGCTTTATATGCTCTATGAGGGCTGGAACAACGGTGATCATCAAACCCAGTACGTTCTGATCAACTTCCGAAAAATTTTATTTTTTTTATTACGACATCCCTGGGTATAAATTAAAGGAAGTGTGTACCGTGCAGCAGTTTGCTTTTTCATTCTTTATGGATGTGAGACATGACTGTGGAAAGAAAAGTTATAGATAGACCAGGTGTCTTTGGCTACAGATGTTTGCGTTCCAGTTCTTGTGTTAAAAGGTGTAATTTGGTGGCTAATACTGCAGCTGGACATAAAGTTTTGATAAGGAGGGCAAGTGAATCGATGAAGTTGTGAATCTATATCGACTGAAATGGTTAGAACACGTGGTACACATGCAAGGTCGTTTCTTCTTTGTCGAGTAATGCTATCTGTCATAGGCTAAGGCTTGGAAAGAGTTACGAATGGTCATATGAAAAGCTATCATCAATCCATGAAGTTTCAGACCGTTAATTTGAGAGGTGTAGACTGTCTAGCTGGGAACCTTGAGTGGTTGTAGAGTCTTAGTGATATGGGTCAGAATCGTTCTTAATGGTACAAATGCATTCACTATTTGCAATTACCCAGACCCATTAATTCTTCATGTTTCTCCATGTAATCATGCTTTTGCCCACAAATTTCGGTTCATTATAGTTTCTTTGAACTTCTATTTTTCGCTACTTTTGTGTTTTATGTGGATTATGGCAACTTGAAATGCTGCACTTCTGCGTAAAGTCCTACTTTAAAAACTCCATCACTCGGTCACAGATACTAAACATATCAAACCATAATCGTGCATTGATACACGATGGTAGCTGAAGTAATTCTAAGTTAAAAAATACTGGGGATGATCGGGTCAAAAAATAACACCATTCTATGAAGTTTACGGACGGTTGAATTGAATCAGTTACATAACGGCAAGTAAATTCTCTGGATGGTGTACTCAGGATGCTAAGAAGAATTGATACTTCAAGAATCTGGATTAAAACCACCTTACCATCAAAATCCTGAAGAGTAAAAGTGCGGCTGACGGATCAACTATGAGCTTCGCATAGAAGTGTAGCAGCTCAAGCTAGCATACTTTGGAAAGCACACAAAATAAAGTAACAGAAACATGATGATATCATAACACACGAACCGGAAGAATAATGAGTTGAAGAATATTTAAAATTTTCAGACTATGGATAGTAACAAGATATAAATGCTTCTGTGTCATTATAACTGATTATTAATCATATCACCAAGGCTATGGAATCAGTGACTGTCAATCTCTAGAACACTTTAGACAGGTAAATCATACCTCTAAATGCAGCTCAAGCCAATAGTCATAGACTTCGTGAATTGGTGTCACATTTTCATCTAACCACTACTTACTCGTTTTCAACTTCAACTAACAATATTTTTTGTGGAAAGAGGTGGTTCAGCATGCATAACACATGTTCCAATCACTTCAATCGAAAAAGCTTCACAACTGATTTAACCACTGATTTAACAGCCTGCATTTAACTTTACTGTAACCTATCAGTGTACTCCAACTAACGCAAACGATTAAATGAAGACACCTATGGTGAACTGACACAACTTTTGTCATTCAGTTCAGCCATTAGTCTATTAAAACAAAATTATAGAAATCCGCCTTCCAAAAACTAAAAAACAAATTAATACATATTATTGTGCATCACCTTTATGTGACATTGGGCAGAGAAATATAGCAACTGATGCTGGCGACATTTACTATTCATAAGCATATCAAATTAGTAATACAACGTAGGACACATGTTTTATAACCGAAGAGTTTTTTTAATTTTAACTGCAAAAAGGGTATTCTGTATAATTAGGATTTATGTTGAAGGTGATTAAAAAAACTGAGATTTGGTAATTAATCTTTCTTTATCTGATAGAATACAGTGGACTCTAGAACTGCCCTTATTTTTTTATTCCTTTACGTCCCGAGTGAAATATAGGCCTTCAAGCTGGAGCTTTGAAGTGTCAGTACCAAAGGTGTTTTATTTTTACGGGTTGAAGTTGCTAGCTTCACACCCTACCATCCCTCTTTGCCCGCCCTACTACCGGCTTAGTGAGGTACAGGAGTGCCTTGACCGAGGATCCAACCTCGAACCAAAACCGTGGTTGACGACCGTTCTACCGCTGAACCACTGGACCCAGAACTGTCTTTATATTCCACCTAAACTTGTGATCATGGATCACAACAAACACTGGAATAGCAAAGCATGTTCCTGGAATACTTCCTATAGTGTTTAAATGGGAATTCGACATAAATCAACATCAGGATCCCAAGCTTTGTCTGCTTTATCCTTTACCGTTACTAATCACTTTTAAAGGTGGGAAAAAGCCAGCTTCTTATTATGTTTTTGAAGCTTATGAAAGTTTTCTTTTATTATTCATCAGTGCAAACAATGATTTAAGAAGCCACACGTGTATCATGTGCTAAATAACTGACTCTAAACTGTTCATATCGGTTAGGGTACATGACCATCATAGCTGAAGTTGATAGAAGTGAATATCGATGAAGCACAAGAAAAAGAAGAACAAATAGAAGCTATTTAGCCTATTTCAAAGGCAGTTTGATATCATCGTAAAAAAGGAATAATAATAAAATACCTTGGTTAACTGTTGAATACTTTCTTCACAACTTTGATAACGACGATCAACAATGTATATACCATAAGATTTAGGATCTTCTACATGCTCTTCAATGAAACAACCGAATCCAGAAAGATTAGTGGTTACAGAGGGAATACCCATTACAGTGTATTCAGCTTGAAGTGAAAAAGGAATGAATATTACTATGACAGTAAGATGAACATCAGGCAGCGTATATCATGAAACTACAGTATTTTAAATTTGGTAAGAATAATTAACTACGCATTTTGTCACCATTCATTAAAAGCAATTCAAATTATCGTAAACTGGTTGGACTGGACTCCGTCCCAGTGACTGAATGGTCAACGAGCTCATCTTGTAACCCTAAGGTTTTAAGTTGGATCCCTGGCAGTGGGGTCATGAGTGTGTACCGCTGAAAAGTCCAGATTTATTGTTCTAACAACATTGGAAGTTTTGCAGTTTATCTTACACTAGAAACAGGTGTTGTCCAATATCTTCACTGTAAAAGCCAGATACTAAATTTATCCAGTAAAAGACAGTTGTTATTTCTGTCTACTTTTCACCAATGGTACCGACCTTCATTTATATTGACATTATTTTTAACCAAAATAAACTGTTCGTGCTAAACAAAAATTTAATCAGCCAATCACACTTCCAATGTTTATACGTAAAAAGATGAAATTGCACTTTGAAAGAAGGAATGGGCAGTAGTTAGTTAACTGTCTAACTTCACGATAATAAAATAACACTGTTTGATAGACATACAGACATATCTTACCTGGTGTATAACCCCATGGTTCATAGTAGGAGGGAAATACACCTAAATGGCAGCCTCGTACAAATTCTTCGTAATCCATAGGCAATAGTGGATTAGTAGAACTCAAAAACTCCGGGTGGAAAATAACCTTCAATGAGAGAAACAGAAATATTTATATTATTATCGAATATATATATATATATATATGATGCTGAACTGTCTTTTGAAAAGGCGTAAGAATTACTCTCACACCTCATATTGAGTATAGGATTGAACAAAAATACTAACAGATTTGTAGTTTATATGGAAGACATCTTG